TTTTTGGACAGTGCGTTTAAATTTGAGAAACAGATTTCCTCCACTGTTAGATCTTGCTTTTTCCAGTTGAGAACTATAACTACTATAACTATATATTAAAGCCATTATAACTTCCCATCTTGACTATTGTCACTCTTTATTTATGGGCTCAGACCACTCATCCATTCAATGCCTGCAGTTAGTCCAAAATGCTGCTGCCCGCCTCCTGACAGGATTGAAAAAGAGGGACCACATTACCCATGTGTTGCGCTCCCTCCACTGGCTTCCTGTTCTTTACTTAAGGGATTGGCGCTGCCTCGGGGAGCTTCTTCATGTCCTCCTCCTGGATGTAATGGACCAAAACCAGAGGCGATGGAGCCTTTTGTGTTGCTGCCCCTGACCTGTCGAACAACCTCCCAGCCCATATCAGTCCAGCCTCGCTGATCTCAACAGCAGGCGTTTAAATCACTTCAATCTCCTGATGTCTATATGTTGTAATTAACTACATCTTATTTGCCCACTGTCCTCTCCGCTGCTCAGAAAATAGTTGTTACTGCTCAGTTTATCTTTTTATATTTGTCTTTGCCATGACAGATGTTGAATGAGTTTATTTATTTATTTTTTTTGGTTGAACAAACCTCAGAGCTTCCTTGTGATGAACATGCAGAGCTGTTTGAGGCTGGCGGTTGAACACTCTGTACCTTTATGGAATGTGTGCAGTCTGAAGAGTTCACTGACTTACTGAGCCTCTGATCAAAAAACACGGCGTGTGATAACAGCCTGCGAGAAGTCAAATTTTTGTTGTGTTCATCCTCAGAGTTAGAAGAGACAAAGCGGCCAGTGTTCCTGCTGCTGCAGCTGTTCTTCGATCAGACAGACTGTCGGAGAGGTTTGCTGCCATCTAATGGTTTAATTTAACATCTGTTGAAATGAGGAAGAGATTCTAATCAAAGAATCAATTATGTTTCCTTCCTTCCTACTTCTGTCATCATGCCATTCATTCCTTTCAAACTTCCTTTTTGGTCTTTGATTTTCTTTTGATTTGTTCATCTTTCCCTTTTCCTTCCCTCCTTTCTTTCTTCCTCCTTTGTTTTTTTCTTTGCTCTGTTCCTTCACGGTGCCTTCCTACCTTTAGCTCCACTTCTCCTTTAATTCTTTCTTCCGTCTGTCTTCCTTTCTACAATAGTTTATTTAATTCTTCCTCCTTTGCTTCCCTCTGTTTCTAAATTCACTCACTTATTGTTCTTCTTCTCTCACGTCTGTATTCTTTTTTTTGCAATGTTTTCTTTCTTATGTATTATCATCCTTTATCTTAAACTTTTACTTGATCACACCTCCAGTAAAAAGAAGGGAAAAAGAAGGTATAGAAGTAGTAGAGGAGGAGAAGGAGGACAGATAGATTTTGATGCAAATGAGGAAGTAGGAAAGGAAATGAGCAGGTGTTCAGTAGCTGGGACAAGGGGGGGTGAAAGGCTCTGAGGAGGTAGGGAAACAAAAAAGTGTTGAACTGTCATATTGTACAGCAGTCTCTGGTATTGTACAAGTTTACCACTTTTTTTGCCTTTTATAAATGAATGAATGGTTTATTTCGGTTTACATTATAACGTACAAAGAATGACAATTTGTGTGAATATTCAGTTTACTAAAATCTTATACATGCTTACACCAATCCATTCACACAAAACTCACAACATTAACAACCGAAAAAGGAATATGCTGAAGCCTAAGGCATATTTTTGCCTATCCTACACCTATTTAGCCTCTGTAAGGGTAGGCTGTCTTTGTCCGAGGTCACTGGTGCTGTTACACAATACTGTTAACTTGATAACCTGGATATCAGCAGTCTAAACAAAAGCATCACTGCTGATATCAGCTTTCAAGAAAACCATGATCCTGTCAGAAAAAATGCTGAGCGTGCACAGCGAGTGTCCTCAACTCAGAGGAACCTCCACCAGCAGAGTGCGCTGTGTTCACACAGATTACAGCTCCCATCAGCTTGTCAGACCCTGTGTTTGTGGATTTGTTGAAGCTCAGATGGAAAGAAACATGAGAGGATCCTGCAGAGAGAGAACAATCCTGTCTAAAACCTCTGAACAGCCTCTGTGATATCTGTTTTTAGGCCCTGAGAACCTTTAAAGTTTTAGCCTGCAATATGTTATGCTCAATAGTGTCCACATTTTCAACATGACCAACCTGCTGCTACCTGCACAACATCAATTACTGCTCCAGTCTCCACTTATTTAAAAAGTCTTTATCATGTGTTTTCACAGCTGCTTTTCACTGAGTCTGCAAAGTCTTTTAACTTCCACTAAAGTATAAAGGTACCAACTAGTTCCTGATTAGTTCCTTTGTAACTACTGTACTACTCTATACTACTAGTAGAGTATTATAAGATATCAGGTCACAAACATACTATGTAAGTATGTAAGTTCAACATAAAACAGTGAACATTGTCCTTTTCCTATTGTAAAAAAGTCACTAAGCCTATAAAAATTCTAAATAAAATTAAGAAATATTTTAACAAGCCATATTTTACAGTTATGACTTCTGCAGCAGCTTGTTGTTTCTCAGAACACAAAATTTGATATAGCCTATACTGTAGGTCTATACATAAAATACATTTTAGAAAATAGGCGAAATAAGTATATGATGCAGTCATCACTTGAAATATCAAAAGGTTAAGATGAGATAAAATGACATAAAATATTTAAATGAAAATATTTAAATAAAAATCAGTGATACAGTGAAAAAGTGGATAAAGCTTGGAACATATTAATGACCAAAACTAATGTTATAAAGAAAAGGGGTACATGAAGGCAAGTAAGCAAATGTATACAATGAAATATCTAAAAACTTATAATCTAATATTAAGAAAAAGATATACTGTGCATACACTACTTTGTGATAACATGTATACCACCATAAAATAAGATTATTGGTAAACTATTATTACCTCTGCTAATAATGATATAGGCCTACCAATAATAGTCCAAAATATCATTTCCTTACGAATACAAATGCTAAATGTTAGTCTCCATAGTGTGATTGTCTTCCATCCTCTGAGATGATGTCAGAGGTGTTTGCATCGGCCTGAAAAGGTGTATAAACAAAAGTGCATCTACGCTGCAGTGCATTATGGTCCTGAGTGCTGATATAAGATGACAAACTGCCATCAGTGAGGGCGGCATGTGCCCACGTTGCGTAATCCAACACCTTCTGGCTTCTCTCTCACCGCTAAAAATACCAGCAGGATCTGAACCTCCATCTGATACTCGCTGTCGGCACTCGCAAAAAAAAAAAAAAAAAACCCACAAAACATCCGGACCACTGATATCATCGAACACAGAGGCTGTCTCACTTCTTTCCAAAAAACGAGAGATCAGCTCGAGCAGGGTCTTCAGAACAATGAAGGATCAAGAACATGTTCGAAATAAGACATTTGGAAACAGCTTGGAACAAAGAATTAGGCCTATATCTCTGCTTTCAGAGTTGTTTCTGTTTCTTTCTACCCAAGTTTGTCATGAAGGATCATGTCAGTTCATGTCTGCAGGCCTGGTGAAGTCTGATGCTGCCAAGCTGCAGGGTGGGGTTCTTGCATAGACTGTTTAAAAAAAGGGTTCTCGTGGGTCAGCAGCCGGACACTTTTAGGGGCTGAGGTATGATGGAGGTTTTAAGACTGCTGACTGCAGACAGTGGATGTAAACAGCAGTAATAACGCTCTGTGTGCACTGTCCAAATGTCCCTTTCTGCACCGTCACAAATAAGTGCGGATTTGTGTCAGATAAAACTTGAAAGATAAAACCTTTTAGGCTCACACAATGCTTCACAGGTTCACTTGATAATTTGAAACTGCTCTGACATAAAGCTAAGAACAAGACAGTTTCCCTCAGTTCCTGAAAAAGGTTCACTTTGAGAAGAAAATGGCAAAGCCTCTAGGGTCAGCATGGCTTGCTGTAAATTACAGAAAGGAACAAAAAAAGTGTCCCTCACTCAGTAACACAGTCATTTTGATGCTCAGTGGCTCCGTTTAAAAATCTTCTCTATATATGGGGGAGACAGTTTTTTGATATTTCTCTGTATCTCTGAGCTCTTTTAAGCCAGTGTGTTCACAATGTGAGACAAACTAGTAACATCTGTCCGCTATTAAATGGTGCAACTATTATGTCTGCGACATGGACAGAAAACACAAGGAGTAAAACGTTACACTTCACCCTATCGTCTCGGTTAGCTGCAACAGCTAATACATTAGCACACACAACTTGCATGAAAGATATCTACATGGACACACAATAAACATGATTTAAGTTTGATGTTTAACTACAAAGCAGGAAATGCTTTTACAAAAATACATATACATGTTTTTTTCCTTCCAAAATTGGCTGTCTGCCCTCCCCCCCATTTATTCTTTTCAATTCAGATTCAACACTTTGCCATCTCAACATAGTTGATAGGAATTTGGTTGGATGAGCTCACACAAAACGAACAAACAAGAACATCACATCACAGTAAGCACACTGAGACATTCCCATAGAGATGCTATCAGTGCCACAGTGCTGCTATATTATCTAACTTTGTATACAGTTACAGTACAGATCACACATCACTTTAGCACTTTAGCATGTTGGTCGTCCGTATTTATTTGATTGATCAGTTAAAATCTTCTTGATTACAGAGAGATTTACTCGGCGTGATAGGCTTCATCAGCATTCTGTGAACTCATGTGGCGAGGGCTTGAATGTAACGTTCATTTATATTTAAAAAGTCCCACACTGCAGCTTCAAGGTGGGCTATTTTTCACCCACCCCTTGTTCCTTTTGACCCAGGGTGTGTCAGCTGTTGAGCATTTACACTGTGATAGAAAGTTTTCAAATTAACCGCATTCAGGTGTTTTTAATGAAATTAATAGGAAATCAAGGTTTGTAGAGTTCTCCCAAAGATGAGGTTTTTCACCCAACAGTGACAATATGAGCAGCATGTGTGCAAAGTGATGTAAAAATGTAAAAAAAATAAGAAAAAGAATATTCAGGCCAAACAAATCACTGTTTATTTAATAGAAATAAACATTCCAGTCATGAACCAACAGGGAAAAAACATCAACACTTTGACTGATGGAGTGTTTTATTTTGATCTGCTGTGTGATGCTACTGGCAAGAACAATAAACTGGATGTTACCCGGACAATAAGTGGTACTGATTTTGATCCAGTGGAAAATTAAAATGTGTCAAGTGTGTTTTTAGTCTCCTGTGTTGTAATGTTCAAACCGCTGTACGTGTCATGTAGGTGAGATTCGGGGAACATCAGTGGGATACTGGAGACCAAATAAGCTTCCTGCAGTTAGTCTTCCTACACATTTGTTTCTCATTAAGTGCAACAGCTTTTCATATAAACAGCTGGTTTTCGTGGTCGTGGTTTGGGCTGTTATTTTATTCTCGCAGTGTGTAATCAGGCGTTACTTTCACTCTTTTTGTTCGCTCAGATGTAATTAGCTTTGCAGCAGCCGAGTGTGACAGGAGGAACACTCGCTCTGATGAAGACAAGGTTAGAAACAAACATTACACACACATTTCTCAATGTTTTTTATGCCTCTTCTATTCTATTTTGCACACTCTTGCACATTTTTACACGGCAAATCAGAAAATTATTTCTGATTTCACCCAATGAAGACAAGAATCCTGGTTGTGTTGCCAGAACCAAACTTAAAGCCATACAAATCAGAAAACTGCTGGAGCTGTACAGAACTATTAGTATGGAAGTTCAGAAAAGACAAAAACTACTGAGCGAGACCAAAACAGCAGTTAAGAAGCTGAAAAGTGTAATAGCAGATTTAAAGACAGAATAGGTTTGGAGAAAGAGTGACGACAGGGTGAATGTAATCAAACTGCCAGATGAGTTGCGTCTTTGGATTTAAGGAAGCAGTAGTGTCCTTTGCTCTCAGTTAAGGTGAGGAGATGTGATATTGATATGATGGATGGTACAAATGTTCATATTATCAGGCAAATAAAACGGTTGTCTAATTGCAGATTTAGTAAATGTTGAAAAATAATATCCAATATATTCAAAAATCTGGGCTTCATTGCCCTGAACATGGACCTGATGTGAGGCGTCCATATAGTTCGCCTTTTCATGCATTTCCATGTTATTAAGCACCGCATCAGATATGTCAGAGCGTTCAGTAAAATCCAAGACACATAATGCAGATTACAACTTAAACTGTACGTAAAAATTGGAAACTATGGTAATTATGGTAACTCCCCTGTACCGTACAGTACCGTGTGATAATAAAAATATTTGTCTATTGTTGGATATTTTTCCGAGGCGGTTATTTAATATCTCTGGTTGACATAGTGGTGATTCGGCCTAGCTACTTAATGGCAATTTTGGATTAACATGATTTCTGAAGAATGCCCAGTGGTGGAATGTAACTATGTACATTTAGTATTTCCATTTTATGCTACTTTATACTTCTACTCCACTACATTTATTTGACAGATTTAGTTACAAGTTACATTGTGGATTTAGATTATTAATGCAAAATCAGCTAACAAAATTATGTATTATTATAGGTCAAGCTACCCAGCAGTATATGAAGTAATTTAAATAAGCTCCAGTTGCAATAACTAAATGATGAACACATACTTTTATTTTGGGTATTTTAAGTATAGTTTGATACTAATACTTTCTATTCTAAAATCTGAGTACTTCTTCCACCACTGGTAATACTTGAGTTCATTAGGTATCTAATTTACAGGATTTGATAAAAACATTCCCATTTGGTTAATTTTTCTAGAAACAATTCTCAATTGAATTTATTATACAGAACACTTATGATCAATGTGATATAAAATTACATAGCGATGGAAGGTATTATTGATAACGCCTGCCTCTATTCTGTTTTGGAAACTGATCATCACTCACATGCAAACAGTCAGGCTACTTCCCATCATGCTCCATCACATTCGTCATTGGTGTCCTGTTGATGCCTCTTTAGCACTTTCATGTCATTAAATTCATCTCATTTGTCTGCTGATAAGTATCTAAACTCAGCACAAAACTCATCAAAGCATCTATCTTTGTGCGCTCTACATGGAGATAAATCACGGCACAAATCAGTGCTGTACGTTTTGTCATGAATGAACTTCCATACTTCAGAGGCCAGGACTGTTTTTACAACTTAAGAAATTAAAGAGTCCTTGTTATTACTCTCATGTACATTTTTTAAGCCACATCTAGAAGCTCGTGGACAACATTTAGACCTTAAAATCATAAAAGAAAACAAAAAAAGCACACTATACACTTAAACCTCAGTGAGGCCTTTTGACCTTAGTGATTTCTGGCCCTGGTAATCTTCTTCAGCAACATTCATCAACACTTAAAGAGTACAGCACATTACATTAAAATATTTAAAATATCCACAGTGACATTCACATTCTGTCGAAGCACTGGGTCATCTACAGCAGAGAAGCTTTGTTGACAGATTGTGTCACATAATCAGATTAATTTTGCATTTCTGTGGTTTTATATGGTTTGAAGGTTCCTGAGTTGAATATTGCTTTAGACACTTGTGCTTTCCAGTCAGGCTGCAGCGAGGAATAATGCACCAAAAACATCTTAACATGTCATTTAATCTGGTACCGCTTCTTAAAACATTAACATTGCTTCAAATCAAATAATTTGTGTTGTACGGTGATGTGCTAATGGGACTGGCGCTCCCTTTATTCCAACAGTATCTAGTTTTCTTCAGTAACTTGGCGTTGAATTCTCTCGAGGAAAAGTTCCACAATTTTCTGAAAACAATGAAATCATTACACAAACCTATAAAAAGCTCTGTTCCACTAGCATCTGTTGCTCCATGTATTTTTATATATGGGGGGTTTCTATATAGCTGAAACATGATTCAGAGGTTTTCTGTCCAAGATAAAATGATTATCTTGTTGGCATTCAACTGAGTCTCACATTTATAATGACCATACTCTCAAAGCACCATGGGTACTGTAGTTCTTGAATGCTAACAAATTAAGCAAAAGCTAAACATCTTTAGTGCCATACAGAGATGTCCATCCCTTTTAATGTCGCTGGGTGTGTTAAACAATAGTGGCCAAATGAGCAAGACTTGACTTTGCACCCACATAATGAACTCCCTCCACTTGTCTGGTAAATAATTGGATTAGCCAAAGACAGACATTCATAACTGTCACAATTTCTCAATTGATTTTCTATAACATTTACTATTAGTGAAATATAAAATTACATATACAGTGATAAATGCTTTATTCCAGAAATATGATGAAAGTTATCATATTTGTTAATAACAACTTTCTAAAAACCCTGCACCTTTTCTTTGTGGATCATCCGAAACCATTTAAACCAGTGGTTCCCAACATTTTAGTCTTGAGAACCTTTAAAACGAAGAAAAGTCTATTTGTGATGCTCATCACTGGTTTAGTAGTCTGTAAAAGATAAACATAATTATGTGTAGAAATATTTTTATTCTGCTTTCACCCTGTGATCCCCTAAGATGTGTCCTGAGACCTCTTGTGAGGGCCCCTGCCCCTGGGTTGGGAACCATCGATTTAAACCAAAAACCCAACAGATGTGTCACAGCAGCAGAATGTCCAGATCAGATGTCAAACTCCAACTTAAGAGCTGAATAGGAGGAGAATAAATGATTAAAACCAGGTCCAAATGTGTGTGAAATTTATCTTGGTGGTTCAAAATGGAAAATGACTACTTAGTCTACTACATGTAATCTTGTTTAAATAGGGATTATATACCATTAACATACCAATACAGTGTTAGCAGTTATTAGACAGCTTGTAAAATGTATTTAACTCTTAATATTTATAGATAGCATATCTGAGAGGGTTTTAAATACAAAGCTACTTCAGTCACTATTTACATTGAGAGATATATTATAAATATGTTTCCTTACCCGTTGTTGGGTTTTACATATTCAAACATATTAACATGTTTTCATATATATATATATATGTTCAAAACTCACATACAGCCATATATACAGATAGTAAATATCGTATTTACATAGAATACTTGACATTGTTGTGATCTGTTTTGAATCCAGCAACTCATGTCAAGTCGCTTGGAACACGTTGACATTCCCGAAGGCAGAAGAAGTATTGCTTTGTGTTTTATTGACATTCTCTGAACGAGCTGGGTCAAACAAAGTCTGAGCTGCGGCCTCTTCTTCACTAAAACCCAACTTGGACTTGACAGATTGTTGCCCGAGGTGTTTTCTCCTCCATATTGCTTTCAATATTGCTGCTGTGTCTCGTGCGGAAGGAGAAACCTGGGGGAGCAGTGTTGCAGTAATTGAGAGGCGCTGACAGGGTTTAATAAGGGTGAGGGATTAAACAGGAGGTCGAGGCTGTTGTGGAGTATGGTCTCGGTACATCGGCGGGGTCAGAAAAGATCCTGGGGGCCCAGGTGGATGATGATAGGCGTGGCTATGGTCTGCGGCTGGTAATAGGCACTGTCGATGTACAGGCCGCCTACACACAGGAGACATGACAACCGGGGTTAACAGGAACAGAAATATTCAATCTCTAAATGCTTCAACCGCGTGATCACTGAAGATTTGCTACATTTAGCAGATTACATACTCATACTAAACATTTCTAGTAGCTCCCAGGATTCTTCAAGGCCAGGGGAAATAAGTAAATTCAATGCAGCCTGTCACAATTATTGATCCCTCTCAATGACCACAAAGTTGTTTCTCTCATAAAAAAAGTCTCACAGCTGAATTCTGGCAATTTGTGTTCAAATTTGCAAAGCCGTTGGAACAAACTGCTAATAGGAGCTGCCTGTGTGTGAAACAGCCTGGTGAAGATTTAACTTGAAGGATAATTATAGTTTATTACAACCTCGGGTATTATATTCGTAATTTTGGCCATCATTTCTGTCAGTTGACTCTTTGCTATGCCCCGCCCCCTTAGTTACTGCTGCTACACCTGTCACCACATTGTTGTACAGTGATAATAATGGCCGCTACTGATTTTGCCATTGAAATAATAATAAGCTAATTAGCTAACATGGTGTATAACATGTTTGAAATTTCGTCTTTCTTAAGATGACAATCTTGTAAAGGGCAAATACATTTGGCTAAGCCGTTTCTTTTTTAAACCTGTCTGAACATCTGACTGCTTCTGTTTCTCAACGTCTACTGACGTCGTTGTACTCCCACATCTCAGCAATTATCCTAGTGTGTACAATGGCCAGAGCGTTTAAAATAAGATTCAAGTATAAATAATAAACTGGAATCATCCTTTAACAGCTTCTCAGTGCACACGTGCGGTAAAAGATAAGTGTTTTTATGTGTGGCTGAATTCACAGTCATGGATCAGGATTGAAGCTGTTTGACGTTTGAATGATACAACTGAGGAAGTGGAGAGCAGAAACAACGATGGATGACCTGCACTAACATAACTTTACATTCCACAAACAACAAACAGCTTGCGTACTGTAAAATACTAAACTATATGTATGTCAAATACTATATACTTTTAGAGGCAATATTCCTTTTTGAAAGTGAGGTGACAATCTTACCTGAATGTGTGGATAAAATGAGTTTAGATCATGATAAAACTACGAACCACAAGTTACTCAGCTGTTGACAAAAATATCCATTTATTTAAACAGAATATAACCTACAAACAGGTCAAAATAAAATCTCTCTCTGAAAAGAAAGTATTTTAACTCAACACAACATGGCTCAACAGCTCAAACACTAAACGGCAACTGTAAACTTGGACATTCGATATCCAAACAAAAGGAAAAGAAAGGTTCGTCAGTGCAACCGATTATTGTAAACCTGTTTTTTTATCTCCACAGAAACTTTAAATATCTAATATAACAGAGAAATTAAAATACAAAATAATGTTCACATTCATAAGTGACTATTAAAGTAAGAGTTCATGTTTTGATAAAGAAGCTCTCTGAGTAATTACATTTTTCAGTCTATATGTTATCTGTTTTCTATCTACGTATCTACTTTGTTTCCTACGGTGGATGTTTCTTTAGTTCATATTTATTAAGTTCCCTACATTGGATATTTAGTAGTTAGTGCATGTTTCCTAGTTCCCTATAGTGACAGTGTATTTCTTTACTTCCCTACAGGGACTGGTTTTAGTTTGCTGGGGTGGATGTTGAGTTAGTTCCCATACAGTGGATGTTTAGCTACAACATTCTTTATTTAGTGGTCTGTGTATGGTAGGTGTTTCTTTAGTTCCCAACAAAGTATGTTAAGGCCTTTACAATGGATATTTTAGTTGCCTACGTTTAGCTCCCTATAGTGGCTGTTAATTTAGTTTGGTATTGTGGATGTTGAGTCAGTTCTGTGACACAGGAAGTTTAGTTCCCTACACTGAATATTTAGTTAGTCATTGTATGGAACTTAAAATAATATTCTAGTATAATATGTAACAAACAAAACAAAATTGATGTCAACTGTAAGGAATTAAATATCCTGTGGTGGAGTTAAAGAAACAGTCCACCACAGGATATTTAATTCCTTACAGTTGATATCAATTTTGTTTTGTTTGGTTCTATTAGTATTAATTTAGTGTCCGACATTGATAGTTTGAATATTCAGCTGTTTATTTTGTTGGTTCATCATTGTAATTCATAAACCAGTGCCATAACGAGTGACTTCCTGTGAGGTGAGGCTCCTAAAAGGGGTTTGGCCTTGAATATCTAGTAGTTGGGTTTTTCAGTTAGTTCCCTGTTTATTCAGTTAGTTTGTCTTTGTGGATATTTAGTTTAAGGAACTATCATGTTGGGAACTAAAACAAAAACCAGCCACAGTAGTAGAACTGTGCAAGTTTCCAACAGAGGATGTTTGGTTGTTAGCTCCCTACATTTAGTTTGCTTACTTTGACATGGTGTATGTTGATTTATTTCCTAACAAGAGATACTTAATAGTCTGTGTTGGATTTTTTTTAGTTCTCTTGAGTGGCTAGTTATTTTTTTTAGGTCCTTTTAATGACAGATTTTTCAGTTCACGTATTTCAGTGTATGACTGGTGTTTCCTATGGTGGGTGGTTAATCTGTTTCCTCTAGTAGATTTTCATTTAGTACCCTACATCCCTGCAGTGAAATATTTACCTGACCAGTCTTTCACACACTGCAGCTCACTAAATGCTGAACTCAGTTTTTCATTGCATAATGGTTTGATGATCAAAACAGCTTATTTGTCACTCTTTGTTCACACACCGAGTAATGACACTGTCACACAATCTGGCTGACAACTTCATGGTGTGATGATGTTTGAGGGTTCTGGTCAAAAGTTTGTGGATTCCAGTGCCTGGTTTTAGGTTTCTAAGCTTCCGTTGTGAACACACAGAAAAAGTCAGGATATAATACAACAAGTATATAACAAGTGACTTCCTGTGAGGTGAGGTGAGGTGAGGTGAGGTGAGGGAGGGTCCTAATAGGGGTAGAGGTGGGTGACGGGGTATGTTGTGGGAAATCTGATGACTGGGAAAACTACTGAGGGCATTCTGGAGGGAAAACCTGAAGAAGAGCAAAGAAAAAGAAAAAAAAGAACTCAAATGTTGGGTTGTAGTGATGACAAAATCAAATGGATTGATTATTAAATTTTGAACAGATACGAGTGGCCGTGTTTACCGTAGGGAGGGAGGGCGCCTGCAGGGCTGTAACCATAAGGAGCACCAAAACCTGTGAGGAAAATTAGAGAATGTATGATACAGTTTAATTACACAAACTCCTCCAGTTGAATGGGACGATCTACAGCTTTTTTAATTTGTACAACTCCACAGGAGATCTCCAAAACTCATCCAAACACTGTATTGTCTTATGATTGTCTATCACTATGTGTATTTTAAGATTTCTTTCAGACAGTAAAACAACATATTCAGATGATGAACCCTAGAGAAGCCCTGCACTCTCTGGGCATCACTCATAATGACCTCTACATAAATGCAAACAAACATCTTATAAATAGAAATATTTTTTTTGTCCTAAAGAACAATTTCAATTAGATTAACAATTATTTTCATTAGTGTACTGATTTATTAAGAATCAGTTACTTTGTAAAATGCTCATAGTAAGTTCCCGGAGGATGACTGGTTTGGTGTTTTTGCTTGATAAATGTCAATCAATGAACAATAAACCATCAAATGTTAATCCTCTCAAAGAATTAGCATTATTAAAAATTAAAACCTATTCCTTTAAACACTTAATTGCCAAAAAATAAGCCACAATGTTTATATTCTGAAATATAACTGGTTCTTTCCCCCCAGTCTGTTGCTTATAAATCATGTAGAACACACACAAAAAACAGGCTTTATCAAACTTGTACTTTCCTGATGTGAAATTGCAGAGCTGCTGTGTGAGGTGTGTTAGGTGGTTTGTCATAGACACACCTGGGGGGATGTATCCATGTGTGGGTGGGGTGCTGATGTATGGGGCTCTGGGGATGACGGGAACTCGTGGAGGTCTGGCAGCGAGAGCCGGGAGGGTCAGCACCGAGGCTATGGGTCGCTTTAGCTACATAAACACACATGCAGTACACATCAGCACTGTACGTGACGCAGTAAAATATTAGGCGGACTGCAGCAGCACTTTACTCACAGGAGGGTTGTTGGGCCGTTTCTTCTTGTTGCTCGTAGATTTGGAGCCAGAGAACAGGCTGTTCAGGGCGGCTAGTGCTGCGCTGGCTTTAGCTACTTTCTTATTGGGACCCGTCCCCCGAAAAACCTGCTTGTCCACCTCCACCTGTCACAACAGAGAGAAGAAGGTGTCCTCTGCAAATCCCTCACCAAAGCAAATTCCATGCATGAGTAAAAACTACTTGGCAATAAAACTGTTTCAGATTGTGATGAAGTTTGTATAAAATCTAATGCTTGTTGCTCAGTGGGGCTGAAACGAGTAGTTGAATAATAGAATTAGAGCTAAAACTAATAATCAATTAGCTGATTGACAGAAACATTTAACGAAAACAATTTGACAATCAGTTAACTTTGACATTTTTAAAGCAAAAACATTGTCTGGTTCCAGCTTCTCGTCAGTTTAGCAGCAGTAGCTCAGTCTGTGGGGACTTGGCTCAGGAACAAATTTCCCCTTAGGGGATCAATAAAGTAAAAGAAAATAAATAATGAATATCTGCTGTATTTCTTTATCTTATGTGACAGTAATTCAATTCAATTAAATTTTGTTTATATAGCACCAATTCACAACAACAATTATATTATAGCGCTTTTCATGTAGAGCAGGTCTAGACCATCAGGTATATTTGACATCATCTTGTGCTTTAGAAAACTATGTTGGTTTCCCTTAATCTGAATGAACTTGGAGTTCAAATATGATACAGAAATGAACTAAAATAAAATATATTTAACTACCACTTTAATGGCAAAATGTATATTTTCTGATGATAAAATATTTTTGTGAATGACGCTATTTTAGTGGCGTCGATAATGCTAATAATTAAATCTCACAAACACTCTCCTCTTCATGAACAGGCTGAAAAAAATGATTTATGACAGACTTGTGCAGTTTGGTGAATCTGACTTAAAACATACATACATACTCATACGAGCAAAACTCTGCAACAGAGAAATAATTCTCAAAGGAAACAGGAACCTGGTGCCTAATCTTTTTAATGCATTTAGGCTGGAAACATTTTATTTGTACAAACTATGTGTAACAAATAAATGTTCAGTGTGATTCAGACTCATTTCACAGGATAAAATCAGTTTCCTGTCTTTGTGGCATTTTGAGATGTGTGAAAATGTATTGATATGCAGGAAGTGCCAAACATCAAACGTTCCCACGTTCCCTCATCAATTCCTAATAAGACTCTCTGAAAGGAAGACAGGAAATCTATGAAAGGGAGTAGCGTGGGTTTGTGTGTGTGTGTGTGTTTTCGTACCTCTATGATGAAGCGTTTGTCATAGCTGCTGCCGCTCTCTGATATCAGCTCGTATTTGAGGCCCCGGCGTTTCTCATTCAGCTCCATCACTGGGTTTTTCCCTCCCGCCGTCAGAATCGGACCTGGAGCTCTGGACTACACAGAGAGAGAGAGTGAGAGAGAGTGAGAGTCAGTAACGCAGGCCTTACATCTGTTATATATTCCAAGATGTACTAAAGTGCTCGTTTCCCCAAAGTTAAAACAAGATTTCCTTTAAGTCCTGTCAAATTATGCAACATGAAGAGTATGTGTGCACAGAAACAGACTGAATAATAATTTTGAACGCAGCCTAACAATCTGAAAGAATGTGATTTACTGACAATACAGCCAAAAACCAAAATCACTATCGTTTCACTTCAATAGCAAAATGTATCAAAAAAATCCAAACAATATTATTTTTAACGACCAACAAATTCAAGTCTGCGTTTACAGTAAAGCCCAACTGATAACTGACAGAGATGTGTAGTGAGCGGGACATTTTACAGTGTAAAAATGTACTTAGACGAAACATAAATGACTTATAGGCCAACATGTTGAATGATACTAGTATATCTGTGATAAGCTAATAATATCAACCAGTCAGGCTCGGATTTATAGTCTATCATGTAAGAAAACAAATCTTTATTATTAATGCTCATCCTTTCAGAAGCTCCTTTGCTTCTTTATGTTGTCATGTTTCGTATTAGCTGTTCTTTGACCTGACTGTTTTTTTAAATATTTTTTTGGTAAAGCACTTTGTAACCTTGTTTTGAAAAATGCTAAATTAAACATGTTTAATATTATTATTAGTATTGTAGATTTTAACATGGAGACGAGACGAGGAAGAAGGTCTATAAAGTGACTTGCCTCCAGTTTCAGCTTCATCACACTGGATCCAAGTTTGTTTTAGAATCAGTTTTCAAATGATTTTAATCACCTATGAGGCAGAGGTTCCTCACCCGAGGTTATAGAGACAGCTGCAAATGAGTAAAAAATATAGAACACAATTCTGCAGGACTATTTGTTAGATATTAATCTGTTCTCTTCTTGTTAACAACTAAAACGTTTGACCTCATCAGGCCTCTTAAAATGTTTCAAATAAAATCAAAGAGAAAAGCACATGTTTTGTATTAAATTATATTTTTATTTAGGTGTTTTAGTTATTTGTTACTGTCTATCAGTATTCTTTTTACTCTGTTAAACACTTTATGAAGTGCTCTAAATATACAGATTATTATTACTATTTTTTAACTAAACATACCAAGATGAGATTATGCTGTCTTATATACAGCAAACATAATTTCCCAAAAGAATATTGAGTGATTCCTGCTGGTAAAGCCTCAGAAACAGGACAAGTGCATTCAACCTGTGTGGGAACAAGTGTTGATCGCTCAAAACAAACAAAAACCTCTACTTAAACAGAGGTAGATGACTTTATTTGACACTTGTTGTTTGTTTCGGCAGGACAACACTTGAAATTATTCTAAATTTTAAATTAACCTCACTGAAGTGTTATTGTGATAAATCTCCATCACAAGTACACTGACATTTCACAAAAGGCCACTGTCCAGCTACTCCTCACGTGTACGTGTTAATAATCCCAGTGTTTTACTCTGTGTGTGCGTGCGCCCCACCTCCTGTGTGTCTGTGGAGGAGGTGATGGAGGTGGAGCTGGAGCTGGTGGACATCCTGTCGTTCTTGCCTTCGCCATCTGACTTCTCGTCGGCGCTCAGCGAGTCCACGTCGGCCTCGCTGCCGAGCACGTAGCCCAGAGCCTGCAGCGCCTGAGGAGGGAACAACACGTCCGGCGCAGGACGACAAAACACAGCGTTCAGAAAACATCAGTAAACATTTTAAAAGTCTGGTCTCTACTGCATTCAGACAACCACCTCATTAGAAAAACAACCAGTAAATTCTCTAATTCCCTGACCGTGCCTGAACTCACCACAGACGGGAAAATGAATCACATTCCCGTCATCTATGACTGAGCTGTCCTTGAGCAAGGCACTCAACCACCCAACAGCTGCTACAGAGAGGCTACAAAGCGGCCATCAGCAACAACAACAACACAAAGACTGGCTGTACTGAAGTGCAGATCTGAAGTGTGAAAGAGTAGCTGAATGAATAAATGTGTGTGAAGAAGAGAAAAGTGTGAGCAGTCAAACTTAACAAGTTCAACAAAAGCTTTGTCACAAAAACAACAATCTCTGTTCTCTCATCGATTTAAAAGAGTTCTCGGACATACCACTATGTTGCAAGAGACTTCTGTATTTTTTGCCTGTAAGTCTAAAGGTTTTGAAAACACAGAGATTCAGTGTTCATATCAATGTATGAATGTGTGTCAGCCTTGGTAATGCTAGGGAGTAAATAAGCAAATTTTCATGTATTTAGTCATGGGTACTGGTTTTTCTTAATTCCATTTGTTATGTTCTAAATTATGGCACTACAATTCCCATCATGCTTTGGGTGATACAAATGTGAAGTGTAATGCTGTCATGGAGTCAGTAGCTAGCTGAGTCCTAATTCCATATCGCATCCTTATAGAAATTGTACTACTTAGTAATCACTGTAGTACATGGTTTTGGTTTTAGAAGTTAGTGTACAAACAAAGAACATACTTGTGTTTTACACAAAATTAGTTTTTTTTTTTTTCCAGATGTGAGTCACGCCTCCAGTTCCCTTGTGCATGGCATTAAACATAAAACAGTAATAAAATATACTCAAACAAGACCTAGAGTCTGTAGACAGGCTAGTAGCTCTGTGAGGCTGCATTCAGGTGCAGCAATGCTTTGAGTGAAATGCTCACAATGACAATCCTAACATGCTGACGTTTAGCAGGTATAGTGTTTACCATACTGAGCAACCATCTTAATTTAATGTGTTGGCCTGTTAAAATTTGCTTATTAGCACTAAACAACAAGTATAGCTACCGTCGTCAATACATTTTATTTAAAACCCCAAATGCCAATCTCATGGTGATGCTGGACGTGATGTCACAGCGATTCATCCTCTGGGGAACGCCAAGGAACAAAATTTCACACCAATGCGATAGTTGCTGAGATACTTCAGTCAGGACCAAAGTGATCGGAAACCGACATCTCTAGAGCCGCTAGTGAGGCTAAAAGTCATTCTGTGGACTGATTTTAAAACTGCTGTATGGACATCAATGTCCCACAATGCAATGCACAAATTAAATGGAGGAGCACATTCAGATAAATTGTGACTGGTGGCGAAACAGCTCCAGAAAGAACAAATAAACAAAACAAGATCAAATGTTGCTTTCTGCTTTCTAATAGCAGTTTGATGACTAACGTAATATAATATATATAATATAAAACAGGAAACTATACTGATTTCTTGTGTACTAATGGTGAAAGCAGCATACTCTAAAGATTCGTTTATACACACTGTGTACAGTTAGTATGTACTGTGGTGTGGAATTGGGTCACAGCTTTTGAGTTAGCTATACTGTCTACCTAACTCGTTTATAATTTGGTGAATCAGCACCCTGAAGAATCATGCTGCATTACCTACTACCACATGCCCATTTACACAAAGTCCGGTCTGAAGGTTGACAAGTTTTCAACAAATATCTCCTTCTGGCTTCTCAAGTTGAACGTCATTCTCTCCATTACATGAATAAATATTGTACACCAGGTCAACCCGATCATCAACACATTTCTTAGTTGGTGATTTCCTACAAGCCACTGATATATCAACAAATATTTATTATTCTTCCTTCATTCAGGTTTCTCAAAACTAAAACTTATTTTGGTTACAGGGACGGTTTCTAGGATGAATTTTAGTCCACAGAGAGACAAACTCCAGAATATATGGAAATGATTTGCGTATTTGCTCCCACCAGATCTCCAGCAGTCAGTCTGATCTGAATAAGACTTCTTTTGGGTGGAGGAGTAGAATAACAATCTTTCAGCTAAATTCATTCCATGAAGGAGAGCTGGTTGTTTCTCACTGACCATTAACTCCTCCTCATCTGTTTCTCATTTTTGCTGTAACACTGAATATATTTTCTTCATTAAGTTGGTGAAGGCTTAAGTATAGTTTCATCAAAACAACCTTTTGATAAGTTCCCTCCTCCTAATCTCGTATAAATATCTTTTTATATAAACTATAATCCCTTTTTCTACTGTTACACTTACAGTAAATTTGATTCAGCAAACTGAATTAAGCTCCTGGAAACTCCTTGTTGTGTTTTGGCTTCCGAGAGTACAATATATGCCGTGAGCCCACTGGAGGTCCAATCTGCAAATCTTTTGTCATGCTTACTACAGCAGGTGTAAATCCTGGGTCATCTGCAAACCATTTTAAAAACTTCCACTGCCTCTCTCAAATGTAACTGATTCCTTCCACATCTGAAGTGACCTAATAACTCATGTGTTAGTGTTATCTAGGAGCTGAGTGACAGTAAGTTGCGCTCATTTAGATGCGAATGTGTCTGGGAGATAACAAACATCTACATTTTAATCTATATTTGTTTTTTGCTTCTATCCTGAAGATGATAAACTACAACTCCCAGATCTCAAAGATTTTTTTAAGTTTCATGTAACAGTTTGAACTTAAATATACCTTGAGGGCTACTTGGAGCTTGGCGGTTCTCTTAGAGTTCCCGGTCGCCTGGTAGGTGGTTCCCTGGATGTCCACAGACATAGTGAAGACTGGAGCGTGCACCGGGCCGGACTGGGACAGCATGCGGTACTGAAGGCCTGGGTGGATCTGATTTAGACGCATCAGAGCGTTCATGGGGTGGTTTGGATCCATCATCCTCCAGTCCAGGACTGAAGGAGGAGAGAGATGCACACATTAGCTGGGTGCTTTTAAGTCCGTATGTGAGAAAGAGTCAACGTTCGTATTTTATGGACAGATTAAAAATCCAACAACTGCTTTAGAAACACAAAGAACTGTGTGATTGTACTGTGATGACCATTTCTCTTCATTGGTTCATAGTACAAACTCAAAGATTAGATATATATATATATTCTTTTGGCGCTGGTGATTGTCCTTTGGCACTCGCTAAAACCGCTTTGGGGGGGGGGGGGATGATAGCAATAATGCAGGACACAACTTTAAGTCAAGAATTTCTTTTCAAATTTTAGCTGCTTAACTACATATCATGTGTACTTTATATTTCTGCTGACCATTTTTAAATGCATGAGTGTTACATGTTCAGATATACATTTATACATATTTCTACAGTTCCAGGTGGGCAATGATGTCCATTAATTCCTGTACAGTATGAACACCAATGACCACACTCTTGTGTACTTCAATGATTTCCACAGAAGGGAAAATATATCAAGCGAAGGTGAAGTTAGACAGAGAAGCAACAAATTACATATAAGATGGGCAAATTTTAGAATTTTTTCATGAAGCATTTTTTGCATTTGCGCAACAGTACTGCAGGTAAAAGTGAAAGGAAGCATACACTTCATGTTCTCGATAATGTTATTTCAAAACAATTATGTTCAACGATTTGTTACTAATTACCTCAAAAGTGTTTGCAATGAACACTAAAAATGAAATTGGTTCATGATGGAGGCCTAAAACTAAAAATTTGACAATCACTGTTTGAGAGGGTTAAACCAAAACAACCAACATCCGTCCGCATTCATTGTGATTTCGTCTGACTTGATGTTCACTGTGATCGATTTTACAACCCGAGCAAGTTTCAAGAATATGCTAATAGATTTTGATATTAAGGAAATAAATGCTGCCGGGAACAGTAAAAAAAAAATGTACTCAAGTTTCTAACAACAGTTTATATTACAGCTTAATGCTTTGCTGCTATGACATCGGTAGTAAATTGGATAAAACATGCAAAAGCTTTGGTATGGTCCTTTAAATTGTATTATGATGCAAAAAGCATCACAGCATTTAATGTTAAAAAACTTCTCAACATGTAAAAGAATCTGCAGACAAACTCAATTTCAGAGCGAAGAAAACATTAACAATCTCAAAATACGTGCTGAACTTGTCAATCCTCCAAAATAAGTAGTAAGTAATATGTGAGTGCTGACTTCACTCATCAGTACAGAACCAGGAGCCTCGGAAGCCATTTCATTCGCCGAGCTCCCTCACTGTTAATAACCAAGTGATGGGACTGTGAGAACACTGCCCGCGGTGTTACACTGACGCCACTTCACACCTCCACACTGACAAGAGATGAGGAGAGCTCTCTGCTTCCCCACGGCTCCTGAGCAGTAATATCTCACAAATAAATTGAAAATGAAACCGTGACACTTGGTGACATCGATTATAAAAGAACTGCTGACTGTCTCCATAATAAATGCTTGAAAGTTTGACTTTGCTTTCAAGATACAAAAGATTAGCTTTACTTTGTTGAGTCTGTAAACACTTTGGAATAACAGATGAGCTGAATTGAAATGAGACCTAAGAGCTGCAAACAGCCCTAACCTTCGATATTACTGTGTGTTTAGAAATAGAACTTCATAAACTTCATTTCTGCTTTTCCCACTTTCAAGTCAGAGAGGTCAGATGTTCTATAAGGCTTCTGGTGTGAAGTTAGATGTTAATGGGCACCAGACTTGACCGCTGCTCTTTCTGAAGGTTTTACAGGTTTAAGATACCTCTGTTTTTGCAGGTCTGATTATATAAGAGGAAATCGACATAACGGCTCCGACCAGCAACAGCAGGTCGTTCTAAAAATGTTACTGTTGCAAAATCCTGTAATAATGTCTGTCTCTAAACTGCACAAAGCTCCTTAATATTTACCAGCCTTAAAACTGATGTTTTACACTGAAAGAAGCCAAAGGGATGGCCGAAAGTATGTGGACAGGCCTCTGCGCAGTCAGCTCCATAAGGAAGAGGTTTCTCCATCAGGTTTCTGTAGGAAAGTTTTTGTTTCTTTGGAATGGTTGCATTTAAGAGATTTACTTCTGCTGTAATCTCCAAATACATTTCATAAAATGTTGGACAAACTGAAAACGTTTAACATATTTGAAACAAAGCAGCTTCTGAAATTATGAACACTCACAGAAAACAAACTGTGGATTTCTAGTTGTCTGGAAAAATATATATATGTACAGTGCATGTATGTTTGTATATACGTTAGAGCTGCACAATTAATTGAATATTGATCGCTATTACGATTTTAGCTTCCCACAATTAAATGAACATGATCGATATCGCCGTTTAAAATGTGTGCTCCGCTCATGGAAAACTCTGCTGCACATCAAATCAAGCGCTTCCTAAACTTACAGCCAAGGTGCCGATTTGGCTGCGTGTGCACCCTCCTGCTGCTACAGTCCAGAGTAGACAGCGAAACTGGTTGCTACTTCCTCCCCCTACCTACTTCCACTCTGTTTGTGCGTTCATGCAGAGGGTCGGCCACATTGAGTGCCATCCGAAACCAATGAGGGTGGAGTGGTAGTGGGTTGTTAAACCCTCCAATGCCGAGTGAGCATGGATACCGGCTTGCTGAAGGACAGCCTTTGCTGCACGATGGGGGACCTTTCTTTAAAAGTTGAATTCTATGAGACTTTGCCGGTTAACATGTAGGATTCTTATATTCCAAAACTACACTAACATTTCATATCACCATTCACAGGTTAACAACGTAGCCCAAAGGATTACTATACAAAGGATTGTGTTTAATAAAAAATGCTACGACAATACAACTGTTGTTTTTATTGAATTGTATTCATCTCATCGTATTCAGCCAAAACAAAATAGCCTAATGTTACATTAACAGTCAACAGAACATGGCACAACTAGATACACAGGGGGATCATGTAAAGGCATTAATGAAAAATAGTCTTTATATATAATGAATAAGTCTTTATACATTAACGGTTTTAAGTTCTTATAATGCTTCAATATAATGTTTGATTTATTTAGAAATGTAGTATTTGTGAATGTAATATTTTTATAGGCTATTAGATAAAGCGGTTCAAATATCTAGACTTTTCTTTGACAGTGAATATCAATCTTTTCATAAAAGAATATAATATTTCTTTATTTCGTAAATATCTAAAGGTGTAGTCTTAAAGAAATATTTGAAATCGAACCAAAATAATTTGGTTCATAAACAGACACAAAATAAATAACAAATGCTTTCAGTTTCCTTTTCCTCATCATCAAACCTGAATCTTAATACAACCGTTTATTTGATACAAGTATTATAGCAATGAGTGCAGCGGTGACATCAGATCCTATTTATGCTGGGGAGAGGATAGTTAGTCTGAAAGTTGGCGGCTGTATTTAAACCCTACGCAGGTTAGGGAGCTCGATTTGGCTGTGAGGCTGACTCTGACCAGAGTAGAGTTCACTCTGCGACGGAGTGGAAGTGGCGAGGGTCTAGTTTCGGTAAGTCTGCATGTGCTTGGGAGTATTAGTATCAGTATCAGTATCAGACGCAGCATGTCCCAGGAGTGTGCCAGATGCAGCTCCCGGCTCCACTCTATTTCTGACGGATTTTTGACGGAAGACGCGTCAAGCTGCACATAGCTGGGCAGGAAGTCATACAGAACAACATAGAGAATCTAGTCAATTTTAATAATCAACAATCAATAGAAGAAGCACAAGAAGCATAACTACCAGATCAACAAAATTTGAACATGTCAACAAAATCAGGCAGGCAAACGCTCTGATTCTGAAATGTTCCCTGTGGGAGATGCAGCCTCGCAGACAACAAACTAATTTGGGTCGCAGAGAGCCGTTGCAGTGTGTCTGAGACGCTTCCAGTCGAAGTTAACGCTGTGCAGACAAAACCGTGGCGCAGCAGTAGCCGGACTTAGTGGACTACGGGTAAAAGTGTTATTTATATTTTGCTTGTAGGAGATGATACACTTTAAGGATCAGTCTAATTTTAAGTGCAAAGATTTGTACATTAGCAGAAATGCAGCACGTCATGGACGTGAGAACAGTTGCCCATTACTTTTAAATTTTTTATTTTAAAGTACAATAAAAATATGTTGTCGCTAAAATTAATGAATAATCGTGATAAATAATTGTGATCTCAATATACTGTAAATCAAAATAATTGTGATTATCAATTTGGACATAATCGTGCAGCCCTAATATATGTGATACTATGAAACATTTCTGCTAAGTCCAAGAGAAGGCTAACACCTCCAACTAGAGTGGACAAACAGACTTATCTTGCTGAAAATTTCAACGCAAAACTTAAGTTACTGTTTTTAATCAACGATGGACTTGACAACACTTGGGCTAATAATTCAGTATTATCATCGCTGTAGAATAATAGTGTAAAACTTCTACAGTTTATAATTAATAGCCAGGGCTTTTATTTGCTTAAGGGCCTGTGTCCACCAAAGTATTTTTTTTCCAGCTTAAAACGCCAGCTGCTTTTCTGAAAACGCTTAGCTGGGAGCACTAGGGTGCTGACGCTTTGGTTGCTATGATACATAATATCCATGGAGGTTATTTGTGAAAATGCATATCAACACTCCAAACTGGGACTAGGCTTTAATTTGAAGTTTTACGGTATTCTATAAAAAATCTTATATTGTGAGTCAGTCTGTCAGAGACGAGTTAATAGCGTGCTTTTGAATACTTTAATAAATAACTTTAACATAGCGATAAACAAAATGAGATAACTACTGTAATAGTCATTCTACAAACGTCACCTTCTGTATAACAGGGTATCACTGAGAGAATACTTCCTGCTGGTCCTGCAGTCACTGTGTGTAACGACTGTGAGCTTCAGGCACTTTAGACTGAAGTGTGGTTCAGTATGAATATGGATGCAGGCGCTGCGTAAGAACATGAATGTGAAGGTGCTGATGGACAGGTGCTGGGGGAGAGAGGGGGAGGTGTTAATTCACAGTGTGTGTGTGTGTGTGTATATGGTGGGAGGCGGTGAGATAATTGTGCGGCAGCCGCCTGCAGTATTAATCCCTCTCTATCTCTGCCTCCCGTCACCTCCATTGAACTGGAAGCAGATGAGAGTCGCTGGGGACGACGGTCTCAGGGAGGGCCGATTTAATTACTGTGACACCGACAGACAGGACAGAGAGGGAGAGACGGAGAGAGGGAGAAGGTGGAGAAGGTGGAGGACCGAGAACGGAGACAGTAGCCGACTGTTTACTTTGGTTGAAGTTTTCGTTTTCTCCCTTGGTACAGTTTTTGGCAGATCTGAAGGCAGCACATACTCACATACATACATAATTCTCTTCCATTTCTATTAGATATACTTCATAGGATTGAATTATTACTGTATAGTGTGTGTATTACATATAGTTTAAACAACAGATATTATTATTATTATTATGTGTATTTTATTTATTAGTCATACCTATACCTACATACTTATACTTATATATAGCTCACACATCATGGCTATCGAGACAACTGTGACACCCCGTGTCATCCTGTCGTCCAATTTGGGCCAAATTTAGGGAAAATTGTGAGGAGCGTTAAATTATTTATAAGCAGATTTATGGATGTTTATTCACGATGGACATTTGAGTCGATGATGTCCTCAGAAAGTGTCAGGCTGAAAATAAAAATATGAGTGTATCATGTCTGTGTGTTCAGAGTTAGACTGTCTACTTGACTGTAAAAGGGCCGAATCAGCAGAGAAACTACAGTAACTATTTCCCTGTTGTTTTTAGAACACCGGCATCTCTTTTGTAACTATTGTAATGTATATCAGTTGCTTTTTTAATCTCACCTCTCGAATGTCTTTAATTTCTTATTTTATTGTTTATTTTGTTGTGTGTTTTATCGTGTCTCTGTGCTGCTGCCGTGTAACATGTGAATTACCCCCCTGGGGATGAATATAGTCCTAACCTGTTTCTCCTCCAATATATAGCTGTTAATATTATCAACAATCAGACTTTCCCAAGCTGAATAAAGCTCTCTTTTACGTCCTGATGAAGACCTGGACATGAAGACAGTGACACGCAGACCTTTTCTAGCCTGAACACAGGAGCAGATCCGTTCCTGATAACCTGATAATAAGTAAATGTCTCTTTCAGCTCCGGCAGCTTAGCTGTCCAACGTTTTTCCCCTCACTCACAGCTATTGGAAATCTGATAACCTTACACATTTTTCTGCTGCGAGGAAACGTTTCACTGAAAAGTCACGGCTGCATCGGCTCCCTGCAGACTTTTAACTTGTTTTTTGACCCGTTTCATGCAACTGGCTGATAAGGTGAATGATGCAGTGATGGGCTGAGCTGGTGACAATTCAATGCACTAAACTGAACTATTATGATCTTGTGAAGATATCAGACATGACTGCTGAATTTCAAACATGGCCTACAATGGATCACATTCATGCAGGGTCAGGGGCTTTCTCTGCCTTGATCCAGAGATTGAGGTGAATTCTGTCTGACAGCAGGATGCCATTTTAACCTGACAGGCCGTTTTGATCCTCTCAAGCAGAGCGTCCTGATTTCTAAGAAAAGCTTAGCCTCGCTGCTTTCTGCTCCACTGACTCACTTTTCCACCTTTTACACAAAGTCTGTCAGAAAGCACCTTGTTTACAGTCAACTGTAGTTTACAGCTGTCAAGCGCACACACACACACACACACACACAAAACACCAGGGCCTTTTGTCTTTGTCATTACTTACAACTGAGCTACAAAATCCTCAATCAATATCCATTCATCTGCTTTTAAGAGGCAAACACTAAGTGAATTCAGCCTACACATGATGGGACCAATACAGGTTCATTCATTCATGCTGTTTCCCTTCTAAATAAAAAAAACACAGTTTTCAATCTTATTATGTTGAAACGGCATCTTAAAAAGCATCAGGGGACACAAACATTGGATATGCACTCAACAAGGAGTCCAAACAGAGTCAGTGTTCACGCAAACAGGACTGGGCTGGGGTAATAATTCAGGCCGGGAATCTAACGCTACACAGCTGAGTGTCTTCAGTTTCAAGAGCTGGTCACTTCCATAATGAAGGCTACAGGAATAAATATTCATATATACAATGTTTTGACACATTTGGAACAAGCATTTCCTAACTGGACTTTTGTTGATCATCATGAAGCTCTGGATGCTCTGGATAGCTAGCTCTGTAGTTTCACCATTATTGCCATGCAGACTAATCTCCTACTTTCCTGAAGCATGATCAAGTGTTGATGCCATTTATTCATTCTGAGGAGTTTTTAATGACGGGCTGAGAGCAGCGCTGCGGTACCTTGCTCTTTGTAACTTTAATTTGCAGGATTTAGCGTCACTTTCCTGCAGAGCTTTTCTCCTTTTAATGCACCCTCACCTCCACACACTGGCTGGCGGTCTATAGTTCTGAGTGACTGTAGCTGCCACGCATTGTTTTTTAACTCTGATTTACACATTTAATTTTGCATTTTTACTGCTGGCCTGACACTCCGAGCCAATCAGCCGGCCAGGCCATCGAGAATTCTCCCGATGGACAGCCTGGTGCTGCCGACTGACATTAGCACTGTGTTAATAAACTCCCCCCTTCATTTATTTCACTGGGAAAGCGCACACTGGTGGTAAATTGAAGGATTGTTGGAACATTTAGCTGCAATACAACACAAAATCATCCGACAACACACTGCATTTAACCTGTGAAGCACCTTGGTCAACCTTGGTTGTTTTATGTGTGCTATATAAATAAAATTCATATTGATATATTGATATTAATTGCATTTGCCAATCAACATGCAATTAATCTGCTCTGCTTGGGACTGTGAGCTCCACAGTTTTGTGTTTCATTTACTTTTAGTTTTACATGCAACATGTGGTCCCAAACTGCGTCGGTCAAACAGTCTGAAGGGGATAACGTTACCAGCGGATCAAAAATGTAATGCACAGCACAGTAAAGGGCAGGTAGACTTCTCATTAAATGATGACCTTAGTCTGGTAATATTATGACTGGACATGTCAGAGAACACAGATATGTGGGAGAGATTCTGAATGTGCAGAAAGTTTTGACAATGAGGAGAAAATCTGCTGAAACACAGGAGCTATTAAAGGCCAGGAGTTTATAACTAAATTAAAATTAAATAATTTGTCGTTATGGTGAAAAAGTGCCACAGTCACATTTAAAGAGGTTGCTCCCCCAAACAACGACACAAAGAGGAGAGAAGACTAAATCATGAATCAGCAGGGATGATATTAAATTAGTTGATCTACAAGAGAAACTGATGCACTGACTTATATTCTGTTATAATTAGGCTATAGAGTTTGAATCGTCACGTGCCACCTGAATTTTGTGTTTCTCTTTATAAAACAAAAGAATCACCATAAACTGGTGCAGAAAAATTCATCAGAATACAGGAAATAAAGTGTTTAATGCTCAAATTTTCGAATCTCGTCTCGTGGCTTAAGTGTCTTGTCACACTCCTAATGTAGATAGATATAAAAAGGCAACTATTAGCCAGATTTATCAGCCTGCCTTTAGTTCTTTGTATTCCAACATCTTTACTAATCAACTGCAGTGTTTCTAGGGTTTCAGAAGTGGGAGGAAGAGGATTTAGATCATCTGAGCAAACTGTGATTCTTTGAAACAAGCAAGCCGATGGTGAAAGTCACCTTTCATCCTTTTGATGAAGTCTCTGTCATCTGACCCGACGTCCTCCCGAAGCCTTTTCTGACAGCCGCCTGCAGAGTGGAAACAGACAGACTGATCACCTGAAACATCCCACATCCCACACAGACTGAGAGAGAAGTCACACACAGGTTATCTAAACATATTATTATCATCATTATCTTCATTTGGAATGTATCTAAACAGGAGAGTATGAAAGCTGCTTTATACAGCGGGGCTGAAAGAAGAAAAGAACATAGAATGGAGATAAAAATAGGAAAATAAACACATGACAGACACACATGGGTACACACAGATGAAAACAGAAATGATGCACACACACACACACACACACACACAACGGCATGAAGTCAAACTCACACATTCACATGAAAAAACACACACACACACACACACACACACACAACTGAACACACACCTTCTAACAGCCTTGGTGAGGGCTTGCTGGCGGGGAGAGGATCCATATTCAAGACCTTGTAAAGCTGTCCAAAGGCTAGGAGGCGCAATGCATACTGAAAAACACACACACACACACACACACACCCCAGACAGAATAAGGGCACATCACTGTATTGGTAAAGCAACAGAACTCTGCAGTCAGTGGAGAACACGTAGCAACAATACCATTTATTCTCTGATCAATACGCTTTAATTATCGGGGGAAACTTGTGTGAGCGGCCACACGTTTGTGTAAACCAACTAATTCTGTTGGGAGAAAGTTTATGCATTATAGAGGGGAGGAATAAACACTCAGTGGGCACGAACAAAGGAGGGAGAGAAAAATAAAGAATATTCCCAGACTGGCAGAAACAGAGAGTGAGGGAGGGAGGAAGAGATGAATTTGAGGATGTCTTGATATTTCTCAGCGCTGAGCCCACAATTTCCGCCCGGGGGCAGACTTTGATGTTCCATGTGCTGTGTAGCAGCAGCGGCGGTAGTAGTAGTGTTGGTATGGTTGTAAATGGGGAAGAGTGTTCCCACGCTCATTAGGTGGCTAATTAGGCTGCCAGTTCGTCCAGCCTGCGCAGCACTGAGGGGCTGCTTATCTGAGGTCAGAGTCCGGGCTTCTGCGGCCGTTCTGCTATTTATAGTGCTGACGTGAGCTCGGGGCTTCACCGGGGCGTCACAGGACTCGCTTTAAATAAACCTCCTTCAATCAGAGTAATAGGGCGGAGCGTTACTCGTCTGATTTCCTGGAAATGCTGACTTTGGCGCAGTGGGTGGTGTGGAAGTACACCCGGTGGGATGTTTCAGGGTCTCACGAGTCGCATGGCGCAGGCTGAGTTTTTCTTTCTCTGCCCAGCTAATGATTACGCTCAGTAAAGTAGGTGTCTGCGGCTGGTTTTATAGCAGGAAAACAGGAAGGGAAGTTTTATAACGCTCTGAGGGGAAGATGTTAAGACAACATCCATAAAGCAGCAGTTCAAAAGACTTACTATCGGATGTAAGTTATGTACAAAGTCTAAAATCAGAACACATCTGAGGTTTTACAGCATCAAATCAGCTCCAGGGAGAAACTCTGCTCCTAAACTACACTTCAGAGTTTGGACTGTAATGATCTCTGAAAATACTTAAACATTCCCAACTTGGCTTTAAATGTTAAAGAATTTTCTGCACAGAGTGAATCTGTGTCTTCACAAATCTCTCTGTTGTTTATTAAAGTATGAGTAGCTCCAGCTTTTAATGTTTTTCATCCCAGACTTGATGAAATTTAAGAAGACTTTTTTAAATTTTTTAGTTGTGTATGACTGACTTCACCAACATTGGGACAAGATAAAACTTGGGCAGCTGTGGCCCAGAGGTGAGAGACAAGAGCCTGTTAATGGAAGCTTTTAATGTTCACGCCTCTGGAGCAGACAGGATAATGTAGGTGGGAAATGCCCCTATCTTCCTTAACAGCTACTGTCAAAGTGCCCTTGAGCAAAGCATTAAGCCTTCAATTGCTCCAGTGGGAGACAAGAACTTGAAAATCTAAAGTATCCTGTCAAACTACCAGAACCAACCATCTCTCTGAAACAGGTGAAAATAATAAATTAAACAGGAATATCATGGGTTGAATTCCTTCATCAACACCAGATTGACCTCAAACATTGGAGCTGTTCTTGCTAGATCGGGCCAGTGGTTACCTTTATAGTGGAATATATTACAAATTGATGTTTATAGCTGATACATCCAACAACATAGTAGGTGTAAACCAATAAAAAGGGCTGCGTATCTAACACTTCTTTTGGTACCACGAAACAAAATGTTCTTCAGGCACTATGAGGCAGAGGATATTAACAGCCTTTGTTGAGACGGGCGTTTTGGACCTCACAGGGTCAACTGACGAAAACCTTAAATATCTTAGACAAGCCTTAATCAATAGCTATTTAGATCAACAATTTCTTTGTTTTTCGTTATTTCGCAAAAATACCAAAACATTTGATGATTGCAGCTTCTCTAACTGATGAGAAAATATTCTTGCCTTAAATCTCTTTGGGTTCCGGACTACACAAAACAAGACATTTACAGACGTCTCATTGGGATGCAAGAATATTTTCAAGGCCAAGTCAATTAATTGAAGAAAATAATCAGCTGATTAACTGAAAATAAAACTACTCATAAAAAAACTGTATAAACTCTGTATAATATGAGAAACACTTGTAAATGCTTTGAGTAAAGAAATGCTTTCGTGTCTGCAGAAGACACTGACAGCAGCCGAAGGGGCTGATGGGTAGAGTGAGCTGCTGTGTAGAGTGGACTGACCTGTGCACTGTCTGTGATGGCGTCAGCCTGCTGGGTGCTGAGGTCAGACAGGACGTCTGAGGGTTCCCTCTCACAGGGGTCATGAACTCCTGGACCTCCTGTAAAGAAAGGCCACATCAGTGTTCTGAGTCTGACAGGAGAGACCTCCAAACAGCAACATACCAGCTTAATTTTACCAGACAGGAGAAACACACGAAAATAATTTACTGTCTCCTACAGTGTACACAGTGAATGTAGCAGCAACTCATCAATGATTCAAGGCCTTCAGGGAACAATCTGCCATTTCAGTGCTGAGGGAAACCATGAGACACATTTTAAAAAATCCAATCACATGGTAACAAAGGCTAACTCACTGCTCTGTACTGATCAAAGGTGGGAGCCGAAGGTTTCTCAGATAAAGGATTAGAAAAAGAGAAAGAAGGATGGTTGCAAAAAATTTATCTTAGAACATCTCTCTATTCATTAGCGGGGGATAGGATACATTTTTCATGTCGACCGCTCTAGGATGAAAAGAAACCCTCAGAGGATGTTTACATGACTTAGAAAACAAACACCTGTGAACGTGCTGTAAATCTTTCTAAAACCCTCCATCACCAACCTTTACTGAAAGAAAAACAAGTAAAAGTTAAATTAAACCATCTTTCATGGAGCCGCGAGGTATCTGCACCCCAATTTGGAAACCATTAATGCACTGTAGGGTGTAGGAATGCATTGTTGAAACTCCACAGTGTCAACAATGCATCCCTACCGGGATGAAACCGTTACCGGTTTAATGATAACCCATGGTAAACTTCCCAACAGCTATTATAACCATACACATTTTCATTACCATGATAACCGGGTTTGGTTACGCGCTTTGACAAACTCATGGTAAAGCAAGCGTAAAGCAAGTAATACCTTTCCAGCATCTACCAAAGTTAGCGACAGTCTCCCAGAAGCAGGCACGCATGCACAGCATGCAACGTGGGTTTGTTTGGGTCAATGACAAGACAGCAGAAGATGTGCTGCAGATATTTTTCAGCCTGTCTGGTCGTATTTTGGTTTTTATAAGAGGGCTGATGGAAACTTGATCGAAGAAAATAATCTTATAGCAAATGCAGGGTGAGTTAACTTTTAGCTGTGACTTATCTCTCTGACTTGCTAACAGCTTGTAAACTGAGGTTCTCTGTTACCTTCTCTTGTAAAAACACTACACGTTGTTCTGTTGGCGTATGCGTTGTGTGCATGCAGACTCTATTCGCCCACTGCACATGACAACACGTTACGCAGTTTAGTCACCCTAACGACAATTTTTTTTCATTTCATATCCGACAATTGAATCGTCAAATTAGTTGTAAAAGTGTTCCAGCAGGAGAAACACTGCAGTTAGTGCTTTAAACCTCTGGGGCTGATTCCTTTTAAAACATTACATACATGCTTTTTACTTATTATCAGAGTAAGCAGTGCAGAGAGAAAGTGGAACAGGGAGCAGAGTCGCCTGATGTTGCCCTCAAGTTAGAGAAAGCTTTTTTTAAAAGTTAGAGCTTCTGTATTGTTTCACTAAAAGAACGCAGTGATAGAGCTCCATTTCACAAGTTAACAGCCCATAATGCAACTGGGTGTCAGGCAGCACTGCATTTTTACTCCATGAACCTTTCTAACTATCATAAGAAAACTGTGAGACGGTACACTTTAAGCTGAATACTAATATCAGCATGCTAACATGCATGCATATTTAGCAGGTTAAAATGTTTAAAATTTGCTAATCAGCATTAAGTACAGCTGAGGCTGATGGGAATGTGATTAGTGTTACAGGTATTTGGTCCAAAGTCAGAGGGTCCTCAAAGTGATTACTGTTCATCCTGAGGGGAACATGAATGTATGAACCAAACTGAGATCCTTTGAGTAGTTGTCGAGATTTTTCACACCATAACCATAAATGTTCAGCTCATGGTGGCGCTAAAGGAAAAATCAGGGGATCTCCAAGGTCATCAGGATTCATCCTCTGGGAAACATGAATGTCTGAACTAACTGTCACAGAAATCCATCTGATAGTTGTTGAAATATTTGAGTCTGCACCAAAGATTCAGTTTTCTTTAAGACTTTAGCAGTGACGGACAGCTGCTGCCACTCCACTTGAGTCCCTTTGGAAAAGTGCCATTGTAGTAAACGTGCATTTCATAATAAACGCACTGATCAGTGATTTTAAACACTTAGCCTACATTTCCACTCCTTCACATCCAATGACACATTTTTTCATTTCTTTTTAAACAGAAGGCTCCACATTGTTCTTCAGGTGTCCTTCCTGATTTTAATTTCACTGTCAAACTTTGTAATTTCATTTCGCTGCTCTCTGAGGAGAGAGTCTGATTACTGGATTCATTCACTAAGGTCAACTCTCAACCACTGACGGATGACATATATTAATTTCTCTCAGAAATAATTTTATAATTTCCAAGATTAAAACTGTTGAATACATCAAACAGAGGACATACCATCTGCTGCCATCCTGAGAACCCGGTTTTTGTGCCTCAACATAAAAGCTATACTAGGTCTGATTTTCTATGCGATTCAATGTCCTGCCACCGTAAAAAACAGCCTTTCAATTTTACTTTTAATGCTTATTGTGCCTTTTTACCTCATGGGCCCTTGTTAGTAGACAATACTGTACAATACATAACTTCCATGTCCAATTAGATCCACCATATTCAAATGTTTGATTCAAATTGAGACCCAAACTCGGCTGTGCCTACATGCTGTCTGGTTATAAAAATGTCTGGACGGCTTGTAGCAGCAGCCATGGTGTCTTTCATTCCCACAGTGCTCCAAACAAGACACGCAGAGGGTAAAATCTGGTCCACTGTTTCACAACCAGGACACAATGCTTCTCCTGATTCTGTCTTTCATCAGTTGACCAGAAGCTCCTTTCCAGCACCTTAAAATAAGCTTTCAGATGGAGTCTGAGCACTATTACACCCTGATAATTGAGGCACACCCTCCCTTTTGTAAAGACGGGAACTAAAACCCATGTCTGCCAGTCCACAGCCATCGCACCCGACCTGCCAACATAACGCTTTTTGACAATCTAAGTGACTTCCAACAGAGAGCTGCCCACCACAGAGTCTTCCAGTTGTGCCTCCTCAGGAGTTCTTCAAGTACTCAAACTGTCCAACATTATTTCCAGTCAAGGTCAGAAGGTCAGCCCGTGTTGAAGCCCTGCCTCCCATTCCTGTTTCATCCGACAATGTGTCAGAACTGCTGGATTGTTTTTCCAGTCTCGGTACAGATGTTTTCCGCAACAAAGTGATTCAGTAGGGCTCAGAAATACACGTACCAGGAGTTTCTGTTTCCTCCTCTCTTTTTTCCTCTGGTTCATTACTGAAGAAGATCGAAAAGACTTGGCATAGCCGCAATGTTTTGTCCCAACAATATTTTCCAGTTCTACAGAAATCTCCAAATTGAACTTGGCCGCTCATCATCTCCTTTGTTTATATCTTTCTATAAATTCTGTATGTGCTGCCTCCAACTCTCACTTGGCAATTCATCACTTTTTTTATGGGGTTCATAAACAACGTTAAACCAGCCCTGGACGATCTGAAGCCTGGAGTATAGAAGATGGAAATGTTTAAGAGTGTAAATGCGAAATAACAAAGAGAGCTCAGAGGCTGCTGTGAAGGACTGATCACTGACCTGGCAGGAGAATCCCTGAGGCGATGCACTCCATGACGCGACGCAAGGCCTCACCTGGACCCAGCGGCCGGTTACAGGTGGCTATGGCCTTTTCACAGATCAGCTCCAGAGGCTGCAGAGAGCGGACACCGAGAGGACACTCAGTGTAAAATACATCAGTTACAGTCATGATTCTGGTCCTGGGACACAGAGTTTACTACACATCCTGCACACAGACAGACTGGGACATAAACTTAAAATGGCATAACATAAATAAAATTCCTTTTTCCCCCATTCTTTCGGTTTGTACAGTTTACACTTTGCTTAACTCGATCTTCTACTGGATGTGAGATCTTGATCTCCCCTGCACAAGAAGCCATTCTTACTCTTTGGCCGTCACCTACCCATCCTTTGAGAGGCTGCCACACAGGCAGTCTGTTGCACATGTCTCTGAAAATCCTCAAGACGATGACGCAGGACTTGAGATCTGTGACTCTGGCCTAGGGAGACAGACAGAGAAACCTGAGTGACAGCATGAGGAGCATTTCAACAAGACAGCAATCCGGATGAGCAGCACAAACGCCAGAATACGTGCCCATGACGCTTCAGGCTCTGAGCAATGGGATCTCAAACGCTTCAAGAGGCATTTTCATGACCCCTGATATGCCAATATGCTGCCAGTACCATTGTGAGAGAGTGAAGTTGAAGTATAACAATATCACTGACAATTTAGTTTTAGATTTATTACAAAATCTCACAATGTGTAATTTTTGTAGGAACTGGTAATTGAAAATTCTGTTTTTGTGTTGTTATTGATATTTTATTTATTTTATTGAGCTGTTTCATCTCTATCATCTGATATTTCTCATGAACCTAAGTTGTTTTCTGGGCGAACAGGGAAAGAGATAATATATGAGAGACATCCTGTGAGTGTGAGTTTAATAGTAATCTAATCTATAAAATCTAAGATATTTCGGAGCGAAGATACTAGCTACAAATCTTTATTTAGTTAATTTCTCTCAAACATTTGAGCATTTGAGCATGTTTAATAGTCTCCTGTTATTGTGACTTAACTAAAGTAGTTATTCTAAGACACTTGATGTTTTTCTTCATGCATGCTTTTGTTTTATATAAGAATTCAATTTGTGGTGTAGAGTAAAGAATGAAATGCATATATGAAGGCCCCTGCTGCACTCATTGAGAAAGGCTCCAAGTAGATTTCTGTGCCAATTTCTTCAAGCACCCTACACATTAAGTGTTATATTATTCCTCCACGTGTTGCCTCAAAATAGTGAAAATATTCCTTTCTGACAGCAGTATTATAAGGTTAACCTCATGTGACACCTCTGCCTTTAGTGACATGAATATGCATGGAATAATAAATCATATAATAGTAATAATAATAAAATCTCTGGTAACATCTTGATTGGTTGAATGCCAGGATATTTCCCATAATTCACTGAGCTCCTCTCTCCTCCTCTCCCTCTCCATCTGTATGCATTCTTATCCCATTAATACATGTTACTAACTCGTATGTTTGTGCTTTCTCGCCCCTCTCCTCTCAGCACATGGCGCTGTAACCTCTGAATTTGTGATTGCACGTCACCTGCTGCCCCCATGTTATTGCGCAACACCTGCTGCTACAGTTATTACTCATTCCTATTCATGTTCCTATTACTATAATTATTGCTATCATTATTAGTATTACTTTTATTCATATTTGTATTATTGCCATTACTATTATTTGGCATCTCTATGTGGAAGTTGCAGTGTTCTACGGTGTTTTCTCTTTTCCGTGCTTGCTCATGGTGGCGACTGTTGGGTCTCTGTAAATAATATAGAGTATAGTCTGGACCTGCTCTATACGAAAAGTGCAATGAGACTGTTATGAATTGCTGCCATATAAATAAAAGTGAATTTACCAATTTTTGTTCCAGAAATGCTTTACATCACTCCTCTCGAGGCTCAACCAAAACTAAAAAGGGAGTGCTTGAAGAGTGTAAGGAGAATAGTATCTACAGAAGAAGATCAATGACAATAACGTCAACAACTAATTATGCTGGACATTACTGACAATTTAATTTGCACAGAATGACTGTTCACAACAATAAAGTGGGTCATTTCATTCAGGTGTTTTCATTTAAACCTAACAGACACGGTGGATGAGACGAGCATCACTAGTTGTATCTGCAGTCATTGCAGATGAGTGGAAGTCTGCGGGTCATATTATCCCTGTGTGAATATGATGAAACAAAATCCTCCTTGAGCTGCTTCACCTTCAGTGCACAGTGCAGCCCTTCACTCTGATATCACTTGGCATTCAGCTCTCCTTCCCTGAGGGGAAGCTGCTCACTGCTTCCCCTGACCTTGATGAGTGGAAGAACTCAGTTCAGCCCGGACGGCAGAGTTGCAGTTCTGACACCTGATTTGGTGAAGAATCTCTTCATGACCTTCGTAGTTACATCCCACTCTGTCCTGTTCTTCTTCTACTTGCACTGAAAAATAACCTTTTGACTGTCTCCATGCTTAATATTTACCTACAATTCATGATCCTTCTAGAAATATTCATATTTCAGTCTTACTGTGGTTTTGGATGTTTGTACATCTAATGTTGACAAACTATGTTATCCCACTGTTAGCATCAAAATGTCGCACAAATCTTAATGAATTACTGTATTTTCCCATCTACTAATGTTATGCAAGTATTAGAAGTTGGGTGCATTGAGATAAACAGTCACGTGCCATTAAACCAATAACCAGGGTTCACACATCCTGACTTATCCTTCACTCATATGTTATCAAGACCACAATCTTTCCCTGAGCTTAACAAAGTGCAAGACACATTAGGGATGAACATTTTTCTACTTTTCATATATGTTAATTTTAGTTAGAGACACTTACATCAAGGATCTGACCATTTATAGCAAATGGTTATTCTGTTAGAAGGCTCCATCAAAGACCAGTACCTCCTCTGAGGATTCTGCAGTGTAGCACTGCAACTAACAATTATTTTCATAGTCAAATAATCTGTCGATTATTTTTCTGATTACTTGATTAGTTCCTTGGTTATAAAATGCCCTGAAATGGTGAAAAATGTCAAGTGTTTCTCAAAGCCCAAATGTCTTGTTTTGTCCACAAGCCAAAGATATTCAGTTTACTGTCTCAGGGGAGAAAAGAAACCAGAAAATACTCACATTGAATAAGCTCACTAATTGATACACATCCTCCCTTTTGTAAAGACAGAATCTAAAATCCATGTCTTCGAGTCCATTGCCACCGCCCCTGACCTGCCAATGTCAAGCTTTTCGACAATCTCAGTGACTTCCAACAGAGAGCTGCTCACCACAGAGTCCTCCAGTTCTGCCTCCTCAGGAGTTCGTCAAGTACATTTAAAAAGTTGGAATCAGAGAATTTTTTTTCTTAAAAAAAATTACTTGCACTAATTAATTAATTATCAAAATATTTAGCGCTCAATTAAATAGTTGACAATTAATCGCTGCAGCTCTTCTGCAGGGACACGGTGTTGGCATGAGTGTATCAGCAGAGTAGTGACAGGTGTCAGGTTATAATATCTGAGCTGCACACCTGCATGAAACAGCTGCTGCCATTTTGCTGATGCAGAAGCAGCTTCAGTTCTCTGCCATTAAAATCATGTCTTTCTTATGTGATTATTTCAAAACACATTTGCTGCCGCACAATAAAGTATACAAATATAGTTTTCAAAGACTGGGTTCAATATTCAGGATAAGACAGGCTGCCAGGATGTAAAGACACTGAGAGTGGTTGTGTCATCAGCCCAGCTGTGCTCACCTGGAACCATTTGGCGTGTCGGAGCGAAGCCAGCGCAGCCTGGCACTTCTCCCTGTCCAGGACATCTTCCTCCTCCTGCTTCACTTCGTCCTCCTGCCTCTCCTTGTTGGCATCCTGATCGCCCTCCTCTGGAGAGAGGGACAGGACAGACTGAGTGTGATCACACTGACCTCACACACACACACACACACACACACACACACACACACAGACAGACACACAGACACACACACAGACACACACACACACAGACACACAGACACAGACAGACAGACACAGACAGACACAGACAGCAGGGTTGGACGGCTAGATATTAGGCAAACCCACTGATCTGACCGAATGAGCTAGGAGGGGGGAAATTTGAGAGAGTCATTGATTTTCTGGGAGAGGGGGGTTTCTCATGCACAAGGCAGGATCTTTCATAACATTGACAGGAGGAACCGGAGTAGACGTGAGCACATGCGTCTTGCTGCCCGACCGAAGTCTCACTCTAGATGCAGATCAGTGGCTGAAGGCGATGGAACACGCCAGATTAGTGTGTTATCAATTACGGCGCAGGACGAAAATGAGAGCATGGCAATGAGTCAGGACCAAAAGCCAGATTAAAGATTAAAATAACACTTTGGCACAAGGAGACATTTAGTGGATTCAGAAATACTGGCTCAGGAAGGCCTGAGATTAGGGAAAGGCAGGAAACAGTGCAGACACATTAGTCATTCTACTTGAAGATAAAAAAAAAGTCATCCTGCTTTAAGAAGGCAGCTTGTTCTGCAGTTTACTGGGGCGCCATGCTAGTATTTTCACTCTTGCGGGGTCGGTCAGATGTTTATGTTTGACTGAAACAGTCTCTCCACACCGGGTTCCTGTGGGAGCGCTCCTGCCATGACTGGAGGCCGAGCCATGGGAGAACGACAGCAGAAGAAGAGTGACAGCAGATGACAACGACAACATAAACATCTGAGAGTGAGAACGCCACCCTGGAAAGAAAGTGAAGGCTGTTTGTTCTCAGGAGCTGCTAAGGGGTGCCCACTGTGGGACAGTCAAGCAGACGAACAAAAGGGGGAACAGACTGCAGACCACACTGCAGAGCTCAGTTGTGAAGGCTCACGGGTTATCAGTGATCTCATCCAGGAAATCTGTGATAGTGACTTCTCTGCCACTGGAAACATTATCTTTTTTCTTCCGCTTGCCAAGTTGCAAATATTAGATGTTGATGAATGTCTCATCACACTGGAATCAGTCCCATTTATGGTTCAAAGATCTCTTTCAATGAGCAATAGCCGGCAGAGATTAAATCCTGGCTATTTCTTACCAAGCTGACAGTAACGCTGACACAGAGCATTAAAAAAAGCTCCTGCTCACTGGGAGGAGGTTACAGTGTAGTCTCTAATTCCAAATATACGCAGTATTCACATTCCAATTTATTCATCTGCGTGCGATTCATCAGCTGTAATGTGAGCTGAGGAGCGTGTGTGGTTTAGCAGTCTGTTGCTGTCGAGACCGCAGTGAAAGCTGAACAGGATGGAAGAGGTGGAGGACAAACGAAGGAGCTGCTGAGAGACACAGGGCTCGTCCCGTGTCACTCCTCCTACAAGACCAAGGACTGAGGACCTTCATGTTCTGCCCCTGGGACTTCTTGGTAATATAATGTACCACTGTCAAAGTACATCAGCAGCTGACGGCATGATTTGTCAAAGTAGGCTGGAAGAGTAAGGTTTTTTAATCTAGCACTTTTACGTGCACTCACTCAGTTTTGTTTGCTTGGCGCACCTGGAGACCTGAAAACAAATGAAACTGGGAACTGAAGTGAAACCCCACAAAAAGCCATTAAATTACTTTTCTCTCTTAAAAAATATTTTGTGGCAAGAAACCGAAGTCACTAAAAAGTACAGCAATAGTTATTAGGATCACCTTATTCAGTGGCACTAATGCTTCCAGGGTTAATGGACAAGCATTTCTCTTGAGTGGTCATACCTTAAATTCTGGACTCTGTAAGATGAACATTAAAACTGTCAGGGGTGCCACTGGAATGAATATAGACTTTTTTTTGTGTGTCAATTATTACATCGATTAATTTAATCAAAATTTTAAAGTAAAAACAGATTATATAATTACATTTGCCTATTAGAAAAAGCATTAACTTACTTTGGCTATAAATTAATTTTAATGTGAAAATATAATACTTTTTAAATTCCATTTACTTCATTTTATTGTTAATTTAACAGGGACAATACACAGTACATTTACTGCACCTCATATAGCTCAAAGCTAGAGATTTAACAGTAACGCTTAATACTTAAAGGCTGCAAATAAAGAAAATGTCATTTTTGATTATTCAATCAATTCTTTTTTTGATTAGAAATTACTGAGAAATGACAGTCAACGATACATTTTTCTTTTCATTGACTAATCAAATGATTAATTGCTTCAGCAAATACACGACACGGTAGCTCAGTATCTGCACTTTGCTTGGTGAGTGTAGCATTCGAAGGCAGCCCAGGACAGGGTCAGAGAAGACGTCTGCCGGAGCACTCAGTAGATTAATAGACCCTCACTGTGGGGCCTAACGATAAGTCAAAACATCATTTATCATTAATAATGGACTCCCATAGCAATGCTCAGCCATTGTTTTTCACATTTCACTATGTGTAAATGCAAATGACATTTAAATTTTTCTACTATTAAATTTAATCGATTCATTGTTTCAGTCCTAATTTGCTCACTTACTTATTTGCTGTCTGCGTATCACATTCAATCTCGCAATTAATTTGTATCTCCTGCTTTGACATTTAGTTTCCATTTTCTTATCGACTTTCACTTAGAGATTATTCTCTTTAATTTAAACACGGGTATGCAGAGTGCTACCTACAAATTAAATTAGACAGAACAGAACTCGGTCATTAAACGCTAATTAAGACTCCAACACTGGCTAAAAATCCACAATTAAGGAATTACATGTACATTTTATTGTAACTGAAGAAAGTACAATTTCCAGCTCTTTAGTGAAGGACCTGAGATTTGTATGCATTAACTTTACAGACTTTTATCTTAGTATTATAAGGATAACTATGACTGATTCCTGTAATTCTTTTGCAGACGAACTGTGGAAACTGTTTCCCAGAGGCAGGCCATGTAGGAGCCATCACTCACAGGTCAAGACCACATACAGATAAGGACAACCCCCACTAAATTCTCCCTGACATCATCATCTAAGGGGAATTTTGATTAGTGACCAGGACATCAGATTAATTCAATTAACACCGTTTTTACAACATGAAATTATGGGATGTCATTCTGAGCCAATAACGATTGAGGGGTCAACCCTGGTAATTAAAACAAACAAGCACATATCTGGACATGGGCTGCTGGTTAATGGAGTCATTTTGTCATTTTAGTCTGTGTGCTCTGTGGTAGACATGGACCAGAATTTCATGGTGACCCAGAGAGAAGTCCAGTCAACAGAGGAAGGGGGGAGGGGGGGTAGAGGAGCATGTCTGAGGCAGAGCGTGAGTGGGTTGGTTTGATTTGGTTGTCGGGGAAGCCCCTTGTACCCGGGGTTTCCTGCTGCTGGGTGGGGGGGGCGCCTCATCAGCAGCGGGGCCGCAGAGAAGTGTCAATCCACACGGCACGCTGACCTGCGGAGCTACGGCAACAAAACCAACAGTCAGTGAGCAGAGGCCAACTTACAGGAGGTATACCCTAAAAACCAGGGGTCATCTAAGAGCCAAAGGGATTCAGTTAGACTGTGATGGGTTACTCACCAGACAGAATATAACTGGACGGGTTCCTTGAAGAACTCTCATATTTGTTAAGTGAAATACCAGAGATAGGGTTTGGATACATACATATATATAACCGGATAGAGTTGACAGAAAGGTTTTGGTCTTTTGACCCGTGAACAAGAGTTTCTGGTGCAACAACTTTGCAGTAATTGTGATATAATAAGTTTAAAACTTTAGGATTCCAACTTTCTGACACGTGTCATGGGATCAGCTGACCCATTAACAAGAAAAAAACCACCGCTCTATCGATGTTGTTGAACTACAAAACCCCTTCGCTCACAATCACACACTGGTGTTAACGAGTGGTCTCTCGTTCTGTAAGAGCTCGCAGAGAGAAAATTAACTGGACGATGTCTTCAAGTAACATTTTGGACTTGATGTTTAAGATAGTAACATTCAGCGACTGCAAAAAAATGAGCCTGCACCCAGAAAGTTTAATACATTTCTCTTTACTGTTAAAAAAGAGCGAGAAGAAATTCAAAAGATTTATTAGCCTTTGATCTTGGCGAATGCAGATATTTTGCCAACCGGGAACTGGATCCAAAATAAAACTGTCCATTTGACCCAAACCCTAAGCAGAAACTCATAAACACTAAATAAGGGGATTTTAAGTGTCGGAAACACGGTCAGTTCTGCTCTTGTTTGTGTGTTTACAGGACAGGTAGAGGGACAGTCTTTGTTTATTGGATTTCACAATATAACAAACCAATATGAGAAAAACAAAAACAATATCCTTGTTAGTGCCGACAGGATGTTGAACCTGAAGGGAAAATGGTTTTCTCCTTGTTGTGACTCTGCGCTCAACAGCTGTGCTTCGGAGTTGCTTTTCTCCTGCTTGACAGAATCCATTTTTTTACCTTTTGTGACAGCGTGACTCAGTCTTTCCCACCGGGAGCGGGACCACAATGGGGACTCGCTGTTCCATAATGGCAGCGCTTCTGACTCACTTTTTATTCATTTTTAATTTCATTCCCATTTGTAGGGAGGAAAAACAAACACAGTCGACGCACTGAAGCGTCGGCTCTTAAAATACAGTATCGACACCTGACAGAACGGAGAGCTGGGTTTCCCATCAGTTTTTGGTCAACATGGGTGATTCTTTCACAGAGATGAACTTTGTTGGTGTGTGTGGGATTATTTCACTTGAACAACCTCTCCTTTACTATTGTATGTAACATGTCTGGTCTAAAGGAACAACTTCCCTACTCTGATTTTTGGATCGCTGAATCCTTTCTGATCAGACGCAGGATGATACAAGAGGACGCATGAGACAGACATCTCCTTTTTCACCAATCCCAACCCAACACATCCCCTGCGGAAATCATCCTGCCCCAGCCATCTGCTATTTCCACCACACTTGACCCACATCCATATCATCCCTTCTCCTTTTTCCCCTGTTTGCCTCTCAGCTTTCAGCCCTCTCACAGTATCATCCTTCCAAATTTTCCCCAGATTATCTCCTATATCAAGCTCAGGTGTCATAGTACTTTTATACAGGGCAGAATGACCCCTCCCCCCTCTTCCTCACCCTTTTCCTCTCTCTTGGCTCTCGGTTGTCATATAAAGGTCAAACAAAAACAGGGGAAGCATCCTCCCAAACAGGAGGCACAGCAGGTGGTTGTAAATACCTTCTTCTATGGTGCTGTGTTCCTCCCTCATGGTTAGGGAGGAGAGGGTGATCTTCAGCTCGAGTTGGGGGTCTTTGGTGCTGCAGACCCGGATGGCAGCCTCTGGGACGCACGACTGCACTTCGTATTTGTCCTCCGTCATTGTCTGCAAGGCAGGGCCGCGCGATTAATCAAGTATCGAATATCACAGTCGCAGCATTAACTCCTGCTGTTTGTAAAGAACAAGGCGCTGTCCAAAAGACTCCAGTCCAATATTCTAAAATACAGTATATTTAAATAAATTAACTTTATTTACCCTTAACTGCAGAGATGATCAGGATTTTACTTGAAACAGACAAAGATATTGAACCCCTTTCTAGAACCCCATTCAGACATGTTGGTCTCATGTCTGAATAAGTGTCCGAGTCAATTTAAGCAAAAGTCACAATGGCAATCTTACTAGGTCAGACCTGTAATATTTCTGTCACTTTCAACAAGTCTAAACTAACTGCTGTCAGATTAAATTAAAAGCTGCAGCTGCGCACCTAAAACATTCAGAGAGAAATGAAATGCAAATCGTGTTCGCCTGATTAACATCACTGCCCATTTTATGTTGTTGTTGACATTCTTCTCAGGTCAGATCGTTCCATAAAAATCATTTATGCCCTTGCAGTGTGGGGGCAATAAAAAACCCTTGTACAACCACATGATTAATAAGTTGTCAGCTGAATGGAGGAATAAATAAATGAACAGCAAAATGCTTTAGATACCACATGTGAGCAAACAGGAATTAGTGTTTTAAGCATAAGTATAAGTTTAGGAGATTTACTGTGAGAAGCGGGGTGAGCATCCCTCGCGATTGCTATGATCCTTTGTTAAGGTTTCACACAGGCATTGTAGCTCTTTCCATAAACGTCCTGACACATCTGAATGCCGGCGTTGGGAACATCTAAAAGCATCACTTAGACAGGTGAAGCCAGCAATGTTACATATCCCATGGCTTTAGAGACATGCCTTTATTCATAATGTTCATTGTTTTATATTTCACCATATTTCAGTGAAAAACCTACGTGTTCTGATCCTCTCCCAGAAGTGTTCATGTTACCTGTTGTCTTGATAAATTCAGGATAATTTGCATTTCCACATCGCTAATTCTGTTGGGATCGTTTCAGTGACTCACTATTCTCTCGCACTGTCTTTGTTTAGAAATGCTTTGCTGTCTTTTTGATTGATACTTTGAAGATACTGTCAATGAAACATTCATCAGGAACAATCCATTTCTTGGTAGGATTTTAATTTGAAACATACACAGGAAGTGTTGGGTTCATATACAGTATCTTAAAGTTATAAACCTAAAGATTTCCATGACATCAAACCCCATTTTTAAAAAATAAATTATTATCTGGGTGCTGAGAAAACTGGTGTTAAAAAAATCAACCATGATTTGACATAAAACTACACATTTTGTCATTACCAAACAGGCCTATCAAAGCAGGAAACGGCACAAACTGTTGTGTTAACATGCAGCTTTTCTCCACATTTCAGTCAGCGTTTCCACCAGTGTTGTTATTGCCAGCCAATTCCCAGCACGCCAAACTATCTTGTTTTTCCTCAAGATTCGTGTTACCTTCAGTGTCATGTTTTCAACTGCATTCTCTCTAACTCGTCTCTGTGAGAAATGACCCCATCCATCACCCCTCTGCCTGTCAATCTCTCCCAGTTTGGCCCAGGAAATGAGAGCTTCAAATGGTTTCCTCCATTGATGATGAAGCACGCGCGGCAGCTATGGCAGGTAATTAACTGAGATGAGGCACAGGAAGCACATTTAGGCTCTGTGTACGTCGGCACTGCTTTGTTAACTAGCAGATGCTTGGGGCGGGTGCTCTGTGGAAACCCATTTGAAGTGTAGAGTTGTTTTGATAAAATTATTTGTAGAACTCTCGGGCTCAGGATGTGCGATGTTAAAAACACACAAAGCTCTCAGGGTTGCTGTGATGCATGATATCCAATTGAAACAGCAAGTCGGTGCTGTAAAGAGAGGGCCCCAGAGGTCAGAAGTTGTGGTGTGACGATGATACTGCAGTCTGTCCTTTAGACATCTCACAGAGACAGAATGGAGATAGATCAAGTATAGTCTCAGAAGCACAGGCCACTTCCTTTTCATATCATCTCCTCTGTATCCCCTTCTCCTACTGACTAAAAATAATCCTTTCATCTGGTTTAAGAATGAAAAACATTTTCTCCCCGAGAAAGGATTTATTCCGCCCAGAAACGCCTCTGAAACACATCATTATTCTGGGGACAGAAGAATGTTTTGCTGCTTAAACTCTTTTCTACTGATGATGATGATGATAAATGATTTAAACTTGTTACGAGTATTTTCTTTTTATTTAATTATTATTTTTTAATTGTGTAATTGCGTTGGAGATAGCAGACACCTCTGGTAGTTTTTGCAGTGGTTTTCATTCAATTACTATGGCTAATTTTGAATCTAATGCTGATCTTACAGAAGACTTGACTGCTTGGGATAATCGCGAGTATCATACAGACATTAGTTAAAGGTGTGTTAGTGTCCGTTTGCATTCTTGAAAAACAAAATATTCTAAAAAATCATGAGGGTCAAATAGTTTATCGCTCTATATGTTCTAAATCTATTTTTACTGAAGATTATTTATTTTTCAACTGTTTTTACCAAATCTTCAGCATGGATGAAACAATTATTCATTCTGGCTGTTTACCATCCTTTGTAGTCATCCAGTTGAAGACAGACTGTCCCCTTTTAAGCATTTCTATTTCCCTTTCTTTTACAATCTGTCCAAGCATTTGTTAAAATTTCGAATACCTTCTCTCCCCAGGCGGCGAGACTCTTTAACTCCCCCTCATCCTCCTCACTCAATCCACCATAAATGACAGTGAACTTCCTGTTATGCTGGTTTTGCAAATTCCCATACGCCTAACTGTTGTTTTATTTTATTCTTTATATTCTATTCTACTTTATATATTTGAATATCTGTTTATATATTTCCTGCTGAACATTAACTTTAAATAATCTAAAGCATGTTTGTATAACTTCCTCTTGTCCTGTGTATATCTGATAGAGTTCATTTCGTTCTGATGTACAATATCCATTTTACAGAGGACGCAAAAGAGCATAAGGACGTATATCACTAAAATGTGTAGATGTAGAGTTGTGTTGTTTAACAATGTAATCTAATCTCAAAGCTTTCAATAGCATCTCACAAGATCATTTGTTTCCTGTATCACAGATGAAAATACACCCACATATCACAGCTCACAGGATGTTTTGTGTGTGTTTTGCATTCTTTTATGACCAAACTTAATGTCACAATGACTAAATAATGCTACACTTTGAATGTATTATATCTACACTACGTATTATCTATTTTCACATTAAATATTTTGCATAATACATTGTCTACCACATCTTTACAAATCCCTCTCCCATTTGTATTATTATTTTCCTCATGTCCTGCTTCACTTCAGGTTGTCTCATCTCCAATGTCACCAGATAAACTCTCGTACTTTTATCCCATATAAGGAACTTGTGGTTGTTCTCTGCGGGCAAGCGTTTCCACTGAAGGTCAGATCACAAAGATGCTTTTTTTTTTTTTACGCCTCCCCACCCCAAAGTTCTTTCTTCAGCTGTGCTTTCATGGCTCATTTTGGAGGCACTGTGCTGAAGACTTTAATGCTGGAGGTGTGGCTGAGTGTACCTGGATCTGCAGGGGGAGGTTGGCGCTGATAGTGTATAGCAGCAGTTTGGTGGGTTTCTCCCTACACATCAGCACCAGTTCCAGGTCCATGTCCCCTTTGATCAGCAGGCCTTTAGCCACCAGACCGACACGTGTCACCCCGCACAGCACCGATGTGCCATCCGGTCTGAGGGCAGATGGAAGACAGCCAGCGTCAGAGTCTCTCACACCCATACAGAGGCTTCCAACACACAAACACAGCCATTACAGTACAACTATTCTATCTCATTATTTCACCACCACTCAAAAGGACAAATCTTTCCGTCTTGATTGAAAAGATTCATAGACATCTGAACAATGAGATCAACGGTGTATCTTCATCCTGTCATGGAAAGTTTAATTGCTTGTTTTGTCCCACCAAGAAACCTATCTACACTAACTCAACTACCTGAAGCACGGTATTCGCTTCAGCTGAACTTTAAGATGTATTTTTTCAGAAGTGATATTGTGGATATTGTCCATTATTGTTACTGCACTTTTTCGGAGAAATATTGTCAATTTTGTTGGAAAAAGCGATCTCTCTCTTTAAAAAAAATTAAAGACAGAAGCTAAAGCCTACCAATCACACAGTGCAAGTGAACCACCACATCCCCCGACGATTGAGACAAAAGATGTGTAACGATATGAACGACAACAACACTGTACCTGTAAAGCTGGGTAGGCCTCTATTCATTATTACAAATCATTAAAAAGCAGAAAAGTAGGGCTTTATTACGTTACAATCAGTAGGAAGTTAGCTAGCGTTAGCTAACTAACATTACATTAGGAACAATCCACAGCCGACATTTCTGGATTTGTTTAAGGTTTTGGAAAGAGAATAAATTGTACTTCTCCTATCAACCTCTTTGGGTAACGACTGTAACTATTACAAGTGCCCCAGGAACAGCGTTTGACCAGATCTTAGAAAAATACAGCCAAAAAAAAGCTAGAAAATTACTCTTTTTGCATTAGAGTCAATGGAGCGCATCCATGAAAGTGATGGACCTCAGTAATAGCGAGTCCTATGCGGCGCTGTGATTGGCCAGCTGTGTATTCGGGGCGTGGCTTAGCAAAGGGTCAATTGTAGCAGTATCAAGTGGGAAGATTTCGGTCAGCGATCTGATGCGAACGCAGAAGTCCCTGAAACCTGCATTCTCTCTAACGGCCAGCAGGGGGCGACTCTTTTAGCTGCAAAAAGAAGTCCATCTCCATTAGAAATAATGGTAAAATGAGGCTACTTCTCAGCTGAATAATTACCTCAATAAAAACTTTCATAATAAGTTTATGGTCTCAGTCGCTAGTTTCATGTCTTCTTCAATACAAAATGATGTTGATTTAGTAAATAATGGGCACATTTATTTTAAAATAGACCATAAAGCAGAGTATGTTTCAGGGCGGGATTATCTATGATTGAGAAGTCGTTACCATGGCAGCCTGTCAATCAGGCTAGAGTGACTCTTACCCACGGCTCTGTGTAAATTTAACCAGCGCCATTGAAAAAGCTTATTAGGAGTTGGCTGTTCACTTTCTCTGGTGAGTACATTGTGTGTCTGTGAGTACAGTTTTAGGCACAGACAAAGTTATCAGCCCTGTTAAAATGACAGTTAACGTGAGTTACAGGTGCACCTAGCTAAGCAAGCTAGCTAGCGCCGCACACGGCCGTTAGCTCTGCTGTATCGTCACTTCCGGGCACTTTCTCAACATGGCAGCGCCCTATTGGCCAAACTCGGGGCTTCAACATGGCAGTCCACAAACCAACAGGTGACATCACCATGACTATGTCCATTTCTTATATACAGTCTATGAGCAGCATATAGTTCCACCTTAAAGGGTCAGTTCACCCAGATTACTAAGAAGATATTTTCTCATTCACATATTATTTTGTATCTAGTGATGCAGTTAGTTTAGGGTTTATGACGCTTTTGATACAATGTGACAATTGCTATGTCAAGGATGAGCCATGCGCCTTTGCCACAGCCATTAGTTTAAACACACGCAGGAGCACATGCTTGGGAAAGATGCGGTTGCAATCTGAAACCTCACCAGCCTCTTTAAAATGTCACTGCTTTTGGTCCACGGGTACTGTGTGTACTGCCAAACATTTCGGCTTGCTTGCGTATATCTTTCCTGAGCCCCATGGACATAGGCAAAAAAAAAAAATATATATATATATATATATATATATAGACAAAATATACATAAATTGTCCTTTTGTGGACCATCACAGCTACACTGACTGTGAAAGTATAGTTTGATCTTAAGAAGAAATCTACTTTTGTAATCTGGGTGGACTGAACCTGGTTTCTTGAGCTTATCTGCATGAAATCATTCCCCGCTGTATCTGCATAGAGACACTTTCTTAAAACAAAACCTCGTGTGGATATTTAGGCCACGAGCCAAATGTTGAGAATTTATGATTGTTTGTTGATCTTGTTTAATCATCCAATCATCACACGTATCCTCCCGATGAAGATTTACAACAGAACACAGTTTTATGAGGGAAATCTGGCACCGTGCTGATGAAACGGGTGAAGGTACAAATATAAACTTGAACAAACAATAAATTCACTTCATCTTGCGCTCTGAAAACCCACTTAGCAGTCCGATGCAGAACTGAACTGTAAGAAAATATTGTGTTGGAATCAAAGCAGGGGTGTTCGCAGGAAAGAAGAGTATGACCGCTAGTTGGGTCACAGTACAAACATTTAAACAACCCTAAATTAAAAGTAAACAGAGCTGGACGTACTTCATCTCTGAAGCATCTTTCTCCACTGTGCTGTCCCCAGCCACGTTATTGGTGGAGGTCTTCCCTGAGGATTTGTTGAGGTCATCCATCCAATCAGAGACCTTCTTGAGGGCTCCCTCCACGGTGGACACCAGCGTCTGGACGGCCTCCAACTCCTCCGGTGCCGGATAGATGCTGGCGTGCTTTGCCATGACATGGCGGTCGTCGTTTGCAAATGACCGGAACGACCTCTGGGTTCAGACAAGGGAAAACAGAGACATTATCAATTTTTATTTTATCCATGTTTTCAGTTCATCTCACATACAGTGTGAATCACACAGAGTGAGCAGGTGGAGGTTCAGAGTGAAGCTCAAGGACATTCAGAGATGAAACATGCCCACTGATGGACCTGAATGGGCTCCTGCAGGAGTTAAACCTGTGGCCTTTACAATCTGTGACCTTTGAGATGGTCTATTTGCCTCAACATGATCATTACTCACCTTAAATGTCATCCAGAGGAATGTTAGTGATTGTTAACCAGTCAGACAAGTGCAAACTGTCTGATGTTTTCTTATTTTAAAGTAACAGAACCCCTAGTTTCAAATCTTAATTTCTGCTTCAACGTTTTTCTGATTTGTTGATTCTGGGGCCGTATTCATATAACACCTTAAGGCTAACAGTAGCACCTGTCTTGCAGAGTTATTTTGGTCTAATATAAAAAGCATTATTGCACTAAATTGTAAAATGTTAAAAAGTAGTCTGTAAGTCTGTAATGGTGCTTTCAGACCAAAAGCGAAGCAAGAAGCAAGTAGAGCCGCGACTTCCTGTCGGGCAGCGCGAAGCGAAGGGGGCGGGGCCGGCGAACCACAAACCCAGCACTGTTCCACAGTTCATTACATTTCCATAAGGCTCCATTTAAATGCATAAATAAAGCTTATTTCATGACCATCACCAAACTTCGTCTAATTCACCTATTTCTGGAACCTGGGGCTGTTTTTTTGGTTCCAAGTAACAAAATCTTAATGCTACAGCATCCAATAATGTTTCATTTCAAGAGTGTTCTTCTGCATTACATAGTCTTAACTAATACCGAACTTTAAACTAACATCAACTCAGTGCAGACCTTATTGGGTAAAACTAAAAACTTCAGCCTGCGGTTTAACTGTCAGCGCTGTCTGCTCTCCTCTGACTCCTCTTCTACTCTGTGTGACCTTTTCCTCCCACTTCCCCACTTGACTGACTGCACTGTTAGCCTCCATTTTCCCCAACTTTTAACAATCTTTTTTTTTCTCTCATCATTGCAACATGCTGCTCCGATTAATTGTCACAAAACAGATGTGCAATGTGTTGATCAGTAACATTGTCAGTTCAGCTGAATCAGATCCTCACGCAACTCGTCTTGCAGTCAGTCAAGTTACTGATTAATGGAGTAACAGAATGTCCGTGTGATACATCGTCTCTTTCCCATAAAACCAGTCGCCATATAGTTTAAGTGCCAATTTTCTCAATGTACTTGATTTCTAATTTTTAAAGGAAATTTCACATACATTTATATTCATGCTACTATTTTTTAACTTTAGCTGCCACAAACCAGCTCAGATGGGTGCCATATTTTAAAGGTCAGCAATACTGAACAATCAGCAAACCGGTTTTACAGTTAAAAGGAGGATTATCATCATCCTCACTGATCATCAAACACCATCATCAAAGCAGTGCTCACTCTGGGTAATCACAGAGAAACTAATCTGAATTTGTTGACTGTTAACTTGCTGGAGGAAGGAGACGAAATCCAGAGCGAAATAGATTCCTTGAACATGAACACACTGTTTCTAATTCAACGCCTGGTGTTGTTTTCCTCAACGTCCTCCCCAGACATTCTGGTGGAAAAGCAGGAGCTTGTTGTCGGCGTCAGAAACGCTCATCACAGTCTGCACGATGACAGCAACACCTGAAGCGACCTGTGCTGCTGCCAATCTCTGCGTGGCCTAGATACAGCAGCCGTTACTTAACATTAACATTTATGACATGTACTTAGGGATAGTGCCCATCTCTCTGAGGGGGGGAGTGAAAAAAACGGCTTATGTGCAAAATTAGCTTGGATCCTCATTTTAAGCTCGAGTGCGTCCGTCCGCCGGCCGAGCATCAGTCCAAGGTCAAACTGCTCTCTCTCTCAATCATCCCTCCCTCTTCAACTCCGATCCTCCCTTTTTCCCCTTTTCCTGTCCTCCCTCTCTCCCCGCCTGCAGCGTGTAAGCACACCCTCATTACGGTGAGTTATTTATGATGGTGCTTTAATAATTCATGGCCATGTGTCTCGGGGGCTTGTGCTGGAGTTGCGAGGGTCATTCATCACGACCCAGCTAATCTCTCGCTGAACTGCCGGGGGCACTCAAGGCTGTGTAGCGGCAAGTGTGGGCAGCGTCAACAACCATAACACACAAACGTGCACACAAACATTAACAAGATCTAAATGAAAGATTAAGACTTTCACAGCCTCAACACTGATTCTGGATCCCAGCCCAGCCCGGCACTGGGCCCATTCCTTTTATTTGTTACCTACAAGACAGCATGGAGTTCAGGCTCGCACTGCAATTAGAAGATAATGACATTCACTGCTTTAATTAATTGCATTGCGGGTTTGTCGGTGGATGCAATTTACTTCAATCTGACACACACACATCAGCAGTGATTCCTTTGACATTTTCTTTTCTCTGTAAAATCACGAGGATGGCGTCTGACACACACACACACACACACACACACACACACACAGTTTTCATGGTGTGAAACCAGCTTGGTTTACAATATCTGAAGGCAACAGATTACCAGCATACACATAGATTATTAAAAACGCTTTTTCTAACAAAAACTACTTGCTTGACACACATTGATGTAAATAATCACTGGTGCTGCTGTTATGTTATGACTGCTGTGCTTTGATGATACTTTAATAACAACCACAGAAGATCATTCAAAATGCTCTCAACCTTTACTAAATATTCATCATTTATTTCAACTGTGTTCAGAAAACTTAAATTAAATTTTGGCAGTCTCTCTAGAGGACATCAACATGGGAGATGGAGGAAGTAAAAGCAGGAGGACTAAGGGAGACGCAGCTGATGACAAATAACAACACACATCTTTGTTTAAAAGTCAACTTTATATTGATGTGGATCCAAGATTTATAAACCTTACCCCATTTTCATTTTGATTACTGACAAGAGATGTTATTACAGCTGAAGAAAGACTTTTAGATTTAGGTTAGAGTGGCTTCAATTGCTCTACTTTTTTCACTTATTTGTCAAAGACATGTTTTGAAAGAATCTTACAAGAGCAGCATTTTAATCCTGACAACAATTTGACTAATCTTGGACAAAGCTCCAGCAACCACGCATGTTTGTGTTTGCTCTCCCATCATTCCTGGAAATCCAAATATCAGAAAGAGAGTTAGGATTCTAGCATAACTTCACCGACACATTTCCACTTGTGGCCTTCGTCGAGGTCGTCATACCACACCTTGATAATGTGTTACCGATGGTAATGTGTTAAATGATGATCTTGATGAAAAATCACATTCCTAGTTATTGAATTTTGTATTTATAAAAGTAATATCAAGAGAACTACAGTGCAGTATTCACACAGGAGACACTTAGGAGTCATCAAATCTACAGAAAGGTTTAAGATGGCCGTGTTGGTGTAGGCATCTCTCCCACTGCTCTGAAACAGTCTCCTTCAGCTGATGGCTTTTTTTCATCTGTGTTGGAATATCTGCACTCAGTTCAATATATTCATCCATCAGAACTTACTCCACAACCAAATCCTTGGGGGATTGTCTGTGTTGTGGTGTACCACAAATGCTTGTGAATGGGACCGAACACTCATAAATACCTGACAATGGTGATAAATTGACATCAAATGTTTCAACAGTGTTTCAGCAGGCTGCTTGTTATGCTGCTGCCTGAAACCGTCCAATATGCTTAAAATTAAGTGTTTTGTCTGACAGATAAGCTTAAGCTGCCAGTACACTCCAAACTAAATAAATTTAGGTGGGTGCACAAACAAAAAATGGAGGTTTTGGGAGCACAAACAAACCATCGCTACAGATTGTGTAGCCTGATCAGCCAAAAACAACAACATTTTCAATAGCCAAGAATTCACCATCACCAGGAAATGATCAATTCATTTATGTTACTCGTCTCTGGCCTGTCTTTACCTCTTCCTGGGAAGTTACTAATTGTGTCTGCCTCCACTCCCAAGGTAGTTAATCTGATGTGAACACCAATGAACGATCGGGGTATACAGATATGGGCATTCAACAACCGTTTGAGAACACACCAAATAGGGCTCAGTTTGGAATCTATTAATGGCTAAAAAACCACTATAAACCAACAGTGGACGTGCACAGGAGGCTCACCATGTCCAGGCAGCGGGGGGGGGGGGGGGTCGTGGGAGGGGTCTATGTGAGGACCAGGGTCCCGTCACTCGGCCTCTTCATGCAGTCAAACGTCTCTCGGCTGTTGGCTTCTCAGTCAGAGTCTCACTGTGGGAAGAAAAAAATCGATGGAGGAGAAAAGAAAAACTCTGTTAATTGGTCTTAATCGTGTATTCCTCTATTATATACGTAAACATCCAGAGGACACAAGGTTATACATTTCTGCCTCTGTGATATGGCTTTAACCTTTGTATCTGAAGTATTTGTTGCTTATAATGTGGGTGATCCAGGATTTAAAGCTTATTGTAAGCTGCTCTGAATAAGCATCAGCTAAATGCTTAAAACGTGGGGCTGCATTATCAAGCATGAAAAGATAAACCCAAATGTCAGATTTCTAACCATTGTGCTTCATATTTCACACAACTAGTAATCACAAACATTTCTGACGTCTTTTCTCTACAGCTGCAAAACTACAGTGGATTTAAAAGAAAAAGAAAAAGCTCACAGAAACACTATATTTTGGCCCAGACAAGCTACACAAGAGAGAAGCTGATTTTCTTTTCTCTTTCTCGCAGTCGGAGTTCCAGTTCATCCTGAAGGTGGTGGATGGGGTTGAGGTCAGGGTTCTGTGCAGGCCAGTTAAGTTCTTCCAATTAAGACTGGGAAAACCATTTCTCTATGGACATGGCTTTGGGCACACAGGGGCACTGCCATGTTGAAACAGGAAAGGAACAAACACAAAGTTGGAAGATCACTATTGTCTAAAATATAATAGTTTTACGCTGTAGCATTAGGATCTGCCTTGATTGGAATTAAGGGGCCCAGCCCAGTCCAAAAGACCCCCAGACCAGAGATGTGAAGGAAAGATTACAACAAACCCACTTCTAACACTAAATGAATCTACTTTGTGCTGAAACATTCAGTTAATAATCAATTAGAGGACCGATAAAAAGTGAACTGACAAACACTTTAATAAGCAGCAGAAAATGTCACACGTCGCCGATTTTCTCAGTTTTACATCACTGCAAATCAAATATCTTTGTTCTGACAAAAGAACCAATTTGAAACATCAATTTTGGTGCTGGGAAACATTTTGACATTTTGTAGAGAAACAAATAATCAAAAGTAATGTGCAAATGAATTAATAATGAAAATGATTGTTACTTGCAGCTCTAAATCTACTGTCTGATATCAGACATTTGCAGCAAGTACTCGTGGAACATAGACAGACTCATGATGGACAGTTCAGTTTCAAAATCAACATAGCAGAAACCAGAGATATTCTCGTTTTTACTCGTTTTTACTCAGCATGTTCTTTTTCCTTGGGAACAACATTACCCCACAATGCAACTCGAGCCCTGATAGTTCTTCTAGTCCTAATAAACTTTCCTCTTGCTTCTGATATTACAGTGGATCAGTAACCATGTGTCATATCACAGTCATTCAGCCATAATGATCCAAAGACAAGTGCTCATGTTCTTCTCTGAGTTTTACTGAACAGATGGTTCATGTTTAATATGGGACATTTCAAAAACTTGCTTCTTATCCTGATTAAAAATAAACCAGCCTTTGACAACAGTCTGATTCTGATGCTGCTGTGAAATTGTTTTACCGTTATCTGGCCAGAGACACACACTTACACATTAATTAAAATATATTCTCACTATTAAATGCATTAGATGAGGCTGCCATGCTTTGCCCACGCGGTCAAATGCTAATAGGATGTGGGCCTGAGCCTGTGGTGTAACTGTGTGGCATTGGAGGAGCGAGAGAGCGAGCAGTGTCGCTGCACAACATCCCGGGGGGAACCGGTGGGGTCGGGCGGAGCGTCAATTAGATTCTCCGTCACCTTGACCTTGTTTTCAATGACAGAGCAGGCTGGTGGTGTTGACTTCTACAACTCTGCTTGTATTCTCTGCATGTCTGTGTTGTGTTTGCAGAATCATTTTAACCATCCAGTAAAATAAACACAGAGAGCAACTGTTTGAAGACAAATTTCAGGAAAAAGGATGTTGATCAATACGGCTCCACAATTACTGGGCCAGCTGCTGAGATCTCTGCCTTTCAAAGCCCCACGTTCTCGCTCACACCCCGTTTTGGAACAAAAACTCCCCAAACAGCGGAACTTCAAAGCGTTTACAACTGCTCAATAATGGAGAACGTTGCTATGTGTGCGAGACCAGGAACGCAACACATGAATGCTAAGAAGCCTTATTCCTCCCACCGAAATCGAGAGCAAAGAAAAGGCAGAGCTGAGTTTCTGCCACAAATTCAGCTGGTGATACATCACCTCTTCACGCCACATTTCTGCTGCAGCTAATCTGGTTCACACGTCTCTGATGAGGAAATGTGACTTAATTGACTGTCAGTGACTGGCTGCAGAGGAGGAAGGGGGCGGAGGAGAGAGGAAGGTGATGTGGTAACAAGTGCAACTTTAACTTTAAGTGACAAGTTTGGAGAAGAAATCATTCTGATTCTTTCAAGATCCTTTAGAGACAAACCCAGGTTGTAGGCAGATGTAAAAAAAAGCAAGGGTTACTGTGGTAGTATGTCATTTTTAAATCTGTACACACACTGTGACGCATGTGAAGGATTATACTTTTAAACCGCTTTTGCCAAGAAAAATGTCCTGAATGAGGCTCCTGTGGAACATGTTACAAAAAACCAATACAGTCACTGAAGAAAAGATATTTATTAAAAAATAAAGTAAAATAAAATAGTTACTACAGGTATTTTCACCTCTGCATCACCAATCCTTCACTGACTGGGTTGTGCTGATATCAGCTGCTCCAACACAAATAACGATAAATCCTGTCCTCCATGTTCTGTCTAAAACCCAGTGTGCCCACAGAGGGCCAATGGTGAGCAACAGACTTCTTAACCAAGAACGTTTCCTGAAATTCCAAATGTACAATTTCATTTGTTTCAGATTTCATTAATTAATTAAAGCGTTCCTTCTAAATACAATGCTAGAAGAGCGCCCTCAGTAGAGAGCAGATCTCCGACAGGCCTGGTATCACCAAATGCTGTATGATTAACACGCCAATGTCTTCGGTCATTTGAAGCTTTTTTTTACTTTTCACCTGTCATTTCATGCCATTTAGTCTCAACTGACTTATATTATACAGAGACAGCATTTCACTGTACATGCAAATGTCAAAGACAAAAAAATGTCAGGTGACATTGTATAAAAATGAGATACTCCGCAGAGGGACGAGGTCGGGTGGATGGATGGGTCAAACAACCCCAGGACTTTCACCAAGAAGGCCGCTGTTCGTGTCCTGTGGGAAACCAAAAGTCAACATTGACTTATTGTACCAACTAACGTAGGCTACTGGTCGGTAAAGAGAAGTGAGCGGTCAGTGGGCGTATAAAAATTGTGAATTACCACAACCACAAGACGTCCTTGAGCCCAGCTCTTTCAGTTTGTTTTTTTTTTCCTATCAAATCTTAATTCATGACGAGATATGCAAGTTGTCAAACTTGCATTGGAATGTAAAATCTAAAACAATCCAAAAAGGCCAGCTGCCATGTGCAAACAAACAAGACGTGACAGACAGGGAGAACAGGAGAAAGTTTTACAGGAAGAGCGACATAATTACAGCCACAGGAGACAGCTGTGCGGACGTAGAGCGATGGAATTTCAGCCAAAATGCCATAAAAAAAAACAGTAAATACTGAAACACACGGTACAAGGACAACAGACTACAAAACTGCATACAGTATTCTGCTGAAGTTTTAATAAATTCCCCATGTGGGCTCATTTTCGAATAACCTTTCATCTCCCTGAAGAGGGGAGGTGATTAAACGAAGATAATTAAGAATACAGCAATGACTTTTAAAAGGACGTTGACAGGACTGCGGTAGTGGCAGATGGTAAGCTCAGCATGTGACAAAAAGACAATGATGATTAAAAAAAAAACAGGCCAGAGAGTGAGAACACATAAGCAAGGATATTTTTTTCCCCTAAAAATAGACTTTCTACAGAACTCTCAAGAGTCATACTGACATGCTTTACATAAACAAAAGCCATACAGTGAATGATATAAACACTGGGTGCTTTAAATGCATCTACTCCCTATAAGCCAAGGTTATTTGCATAGCCCTTTAGTCTCAAAGGGCTTTACACATTATGAGACAATGAATTAAAATGACACACTCCAACTTCAGATCTTCAGTGAGAACAAAAACCCTGCGAGAGCTTTTCATTTTATTTCACCCAACAGCAGTTAACATCATTAAACTCCGGTAAAAGACAAACATTTGCAACAATTAGGCCAATGAGAGCAGAATTAGGTTCACTACAGTTTAGTGACGTTTTACAAATGTAGTGCTTTGTTGTGCATGTAGTAGTACAAATAACCCTTGGTTGTTTATGAGGACTGATTATTTATGAGTAAAGAGGCCCAGAGCCAGGCACCAACTCTGCTCCAGATAAAGGTTCAATTCCCCGAGAAGCAAGGCACTAAGAGGGGCTGGGAGAGGGGTCATTTTCAGGACCCCAATTACATAATTAGTTGAACTGGGGATCGTTTGAAATGTTTTGATACAGGGCTCTGCAGTGCGACCATTTTGCTCGCATATGCCCCTAAAAATCGATACGTGCGAACTGGAAAAGTGATTTCCGAGCACATTGTGCGAGTAACTACAACCTACTGAAATCCCCCGCACCCCTCCCGCCGTGCTGCTAATAGTTCAAAACATCCCTCCCCTAGTAGCGGCCTGGACGCGACGCAAAGCTGGTGTCAGTCAAATGAGAGTTGTCGAAACTGGCAGGAAAAATAGCTAGCAAGCCACCGGAGCACCGAGAGAGATCCCGGAGGGCGGGTCAGTCGGTGGCCGCTCGAGCAGCTCGTTACAAAAACGAGAGAGAGATGTCAGCAGCTGGAGCGGTGAGACAGAAGACAGTAGGGAGAAGGAAGTTTTGGGTTTGGCTAGCTGGATATTCAGCTGTATCAGGCGCCCTTTGTTGAAACATGTTCAACTTTTCTTAAAATCGATGTGCTCGCCACTGTCACTTTTTGTCAGCTGACCAATCACAGCATGGATGGGGCGCAACATAAAAATGGTTTGACGTCCTAGAGTAAACTTTCAAACGTTGAACTCCT